GCTAAACTCCCAAGAAGGCTGCGCCATAGAAAGAGGTATCAGCCAGCGGCAGACAGAGCTTTATCAAAACTAAAAGCTAGCCTATAGTTGGATCAGTCCAATTGGATTACAATAATCAGTCCCTCAATATGCCTGCCTAGCAGCTATTTTCCCTGGAAGAAAATAACATTATCTACCACAACATCTACAATTTTTCATATCGCATGTTGAGTACACAATCAAAACTTACTAGGTATGCCAAGACACAGACCAAAAACCCAGAGGGGGAAAAAGCAGATCACGCACAAAGGACCCACAAGTGATTCAGACAATGAAGTTAGTAGAAAAAGAGTTTAGCCATGATTAATATATCCAAAAATATGATAACAAAATGGATAAATTAGATAAAAAGGCAGAGAATTTCACTAAATAATTAGAATCAATAAAAAGGATCAAATGAAATTTTCTAAGACTGAAATTAAGAACTCATAATAGATAAGACTGAAAAACAGATTAGACATAGCAAAAGAGATGATTAATCAGTTGGAAAGCAGGTCAAAAAATTTTCAAAACTGAAAAAGAGGAAAATGCAAAGTGGAAAATAAATAAGAGTGTAAGAAATGTGTAATCAAGTAAAAAAGTTTAAATTATGTAAATGTGAAGACAGAAAAAGAAAGAATGGGATAGTAAAAGTAATTAAAGAGACAATAGCAAATTCAGAGATATGAATGCACAAATACAAAAATTACTAAGAAACTCTGTAGGGCTGATGGCAAAACAACAACAACAAAAAATAATGCCAGACTTTGGGACATCACAGAATATCTGATAAAAACTACACATAAAGAAGAAATCCTAAAAGCAGCCAGAGGAAAAAAGGCACATTCTCTTCAAAGGAGTAATAATAATGTTGATTAATGGCTGATTTTTCAACAGAAGTTATGGAAGCCTAAAGACAGTGGAATGTTTTAAAGTGCTGAAAAATCTTCAAATATAGAATTCCATGCTCAAAAAAAGTATCATCCAAAAATGATGGTAAAATTAAGACATTTTCAGACAAGTAAATACTGAGAAGATTTGTCACCACCATTCGCTTTTTTAAAATGCTAATGAAAGTCTAATTGGGCAAAAGAAAATAATGTCAGAAGAAAGCATGGTAATATAGGGAAAAAATCAAAAGTAATGGAAAAAGTAAACATGTGGGTAAATAATAATGAATACTGATTGTTTAAAATAACAATAAAAATAACACCTAATAGGTTTTGAAAATATGTAAATTAAAATGCATGACAAGGATAACACAAATGATGTAGGGGGTTAAATAGAATTAAAATGCAATAAAGTACCTTATTATCCAGCATTATATATACCCAAAAGAAATGAAAACACGTCCACAAAATTACTTGTCCACAAATAAATGTTTACAGACTCACTGTTAATAATGTCCTGAAACTGGAAACAGTTCAAATGTTCATCTACAGGTGAACTGATAGGCAAATTAAATTGAATACTACTCAGCAAAAATAAATAAATAAACCCACATGAAGAAAATACTGGCAGTAAAAACTATGAATGAATCACACAAACATTGTATTCAGCAAAAGAAACCGGTTTTTACAAGTTTGTAATATACTATTCCATGTATATAAGGTTCTGACCAAGCAGAACTAATTTATGATGCTAAAAGTCAAGACAATGGTTATCTCTGAGTGTATGAGAAACTGGGAAGTGGCAGGAGAGGACTTCTGGAAGATTAGTAATATTGAATTCCTTGATCTAGTTGCAGACGTATTTCAAGAAAATTTTCAAATATATTTCAAACATACAAAATGTTATACAAAGACTAACAAGTCTATATAAACCATCAAAACTAAGAAACAAAACATTACCAATATATTTGCGTATGCGACTCCCTGACAGCACCTCCACCCACTCCACAGAGATAAACCACTCCCCCGAATTTGATGTTCACCATTCCTCTGCACTAGTTTGTACTTTTACTCTTATATAGATTCACTTAAACAATATATAGAACTGTTTTTGTATGTTTTCACACTGTGCATAAGAGTAATTTAATTTCCATTTTTAAAAGAGTATCCTAAAAGGGAAACTGTTGAACTGCAAAACTGTTGCATGTCAAACTCATCTCTCTGAGCAGTAAGGAAATAAGGAGAGGCTGTGGGCACAGCTTAACTGTGAAGTGGACCAGTAACTGGAGGGAGAAGTGAGGCCAAAGGAGATCTTAAAAAATAGAAGATCAACCTTTGCCTAGTTGAGAGGAAACAATGAAAACAAAGAAGATAGGAGGAATCAAGGAAGGAACACAGTCCTTGAGAAGGTGAGAGGGGATGGGATGCGAAGCACAGGCAGTTCGGTCTTTGCTGCGATACAATGTCTCCTTCCTTTTTTACTAGAAGGAAATAAAAAGGGTACCAATGCAGGAAAGGTTGTTCGGTGGTGGAAAGATAAGGGAGTTCCCATCCAATGGCTGCCACTTTTTCAATGATCATGAGTCATTATCTGAAAAGAGTGGATATGAGAGTGTTGAAAGCTGTGAAGAAAATGGCATGCAATTGCATTGGAAAAGGCTGAAAAAGCATCTTGGTTAAGAAAAATCAAAGGTTCCGTTGAGCAAAAGTTAAATGCTCAACAGAAACCCAAATTCTCACAATATAGTATGAGCTCAAAAGCAGGGAAACTATTATTCATCTTTGATTATGCTGCACAAAGCACAGCATAACCTATATTAGGTAATCAAGAGAGAATGAATAAATGAATGAATAAAGATTAAATTTTTTCATATTTTCTCAGCACATTTTACTATTGTCGGTCATGTTCTACAATGGCACGAAAGAAAACAGTCTTTTCAAAATAATTCATCTTAGATGCCAAATGCATTTTCCTTTTTCTCATTTTTAGTTCTGTGTGTTCTTGGAAGCAAAGCAATCTGTGTCCCCCACCGTTACCAGTTATTCATATTATGTAAAGAAATGACATGTTTATCTTCCAAAATAATTTTTAAGCAGAAATCATCAATGGCATAATTCTTACAGGAAATGAAGAGATAGAATCTATATCCCTGTATTATTATAATTTGTGACATCATATGGATAGAGCTGATGAACAAATTAGAAGCTCTTGACAAGAAGCTTCTTGTTCACACTCAGATCAAGATGTCCCTGCTGCTGGTAAGGCACACATGCACACTGAGTGAGGAAAAACGTTTGGCTTATGCTCGGTCACCTCAGGGTGGTCCCAGCCAAACCCAAATGTGCCCAGATGAACAGAAGCACTGAATATCTAAGGAGACAAGTTAGCCCACTATGTTAGTTACCATTTATCATTGACAAAAATTATAAATGCATTACTTGCAGCATAAATTGTTATTCATTTAACTACACTAAGTTCCATTTAAAAAGACTCCATTCATGCAAGGAGCACTGTTTTGGTTGGCTAGGCAGTAGAATTGTTGCGCTTATAGTTCATGTTTACACTTACTATGTATATTGAGCGTGCTTTCCTAGTTCCTGTCACCACAACCAGACTGTAAGTGCATATGTTTTTGACATTCTTAACTACAGTAATTCAGAACTTCAGCTGTCAAGTTTGGAGCTAATATTCTCATATGTGCATTTCATGTTCTACTGTTAAAAATAATTCCTTGTTTTCTGTCAGAAGCTCCTAACATAATATATAAAAGGGCAGGATCCAATTTTTCAAAACTAATCTAGCTCTTTAACTAAACAGACCTACGATGTATTTTTTTCTTTGAAAATACCCCCTTTCCTATCATTCCCTTTATTCAGTTATTAAAAACCCTGGCCAAGCAGTAAAATAGTAGAACATGTTAAATATCAACAAACCACAAATAGGAGTGTTTCCAGGGAGGAAACGGAGGAAATTTTCAGTTTCGTGCTAGATCAGCTTTTGAGGCACTGTCCTCTTAAGCACGGAGGCATCAATTATTTTTCCTATGCTGAAAAGGTCTACACATCTAAAGGTCCTGTAGGTCCCCAAAGAAAATAAGCAACCATTTTTCTGTATCATCAAACACAATACCTGTGCTGGTTTTAAAATACCAGTAGAATTCTGAGTGTGAACATTAAGGTTTACTATTTCAGTGTCAAGAGAAGCAGAGTTGCTCTGTGGCCAAAAAGCATTGGGACCATACTTCAAGTTGTCAACTGCCCAATATTCCTAGGGCCAAAGACTAGCTCCACTGCAGAATCCTGTAATCCTAGAGTCTGAGGGAACCCTGGGGACGTCCTGGTCTGGTCTGATACCCACAGCAGGAATTTCCCCCCCTCCAGCATCCCTGGCAGACGATCAGTCTAGATTTCAATTACTCCACTGGGGGAGTTCGCAAGAGAAGATTCCGAAGGGATATGATGAAAGGCTTGAACCAACCATTCCGACAGAGAGTAAGGCTCCAATCAGTAAGCCTACAGGATGCAAATACTGTTGCCAGACCCTAAAACCAGCTTTTCAAAAGAATGAGATTCAGAATCAGCAATCACGGGGGTGCAACGGTAAGACATGTAGACCCCCAATTCTGGGACCATCTAGGTCTTTTCATTGGCCTGGGGAGTAGCTCCTACAACTAGGGAAGCAAGGTGACTTTTCTCCCACTGATTTCCTAAAGTAAGAATTGACTCTTTGGGGCTCACAGCAACGGTTTGTCAAGCTCAGAAAGGACCAGATTCCTTCCTCCCGAAAACCAAGACAAGGGACCCCCTGGTGGAACTGCTAATGCTCGAAATACTCTTAACTTTGGTCTAAAAGTCCTCTCTAGAGTAAACCAGAACATTTCGGGCTCTTCTTTTAAAGGTGAATATAGGCTTTGCTTTAAATGAAGTTGGCTCGTGTAGGGCTGATGTGTGGGGGGTGATGTTTTAAAGCGCAACTCGTCATCCCGCCGTGAAGTCTGGCTTACCCTCCCAGAAAAGGCGAGCGCGCGGGGCTCTGTTACCAGCAAGCACATCCCCCAGCCGGACCCCGGGACGGGGCAGCCCGGGCCTTACCTGTCGATGCTGATCACGCACAGGGTCATGATTGAGGCGGTGCAACACATGACGTCCATGGCAATGAATACGTTGCAGAAGAAGTGGCCAAAGATCCACTTGCCCCCGATAAGGTCTGTGACGCTGACAAAAGGCATGACCGCCACAGCCACCGAGAGGTCGGCCAGCGCCAGGGACACGATCAGATAGTTGGAGGGCTGGCGAAGCTTCTTGACGAAACACACCGAAATCACCACCAGGCAGTTGCCGGCGATCGTCAGCAGCGTGATGAGCGTCAGGATGGAGCCGATCACAACTTTCTCGACTCTGCCGTAGTTGATCTGCTCCCCGCAGCCGGAGGCATTGTCCTGGGGCGCGGGGCTGGCGGTCACCTCAGGGACCCCGCGCAGCAGGTGCGGCGCCCAGGAGCCCGCGGCCGGGCCGGCGCCGTCGGGGCTTAGGTCCGGCAGCCCTACCTCTGGCAGGAGGACGGAGCGCAGGTGTCCGTAGAGGTCCGGGCGGCCGCTGCTGTTAACGTCCATCATCGTGCCGCTGTGCCCTGCTGCCCATGGAGCCGGCGCCCCCGCCACACGCTCCGGCTGCCGGCCCAGGGGCTTCACCTCGCCGGTTCCGCTCCGCCCGGCCCAGCCATGAGGCCCGCGCCGGCCGCTGGGGGGCGCCCGGTTCGGCCTCGCAGCCCCGCACGTCCCGGGCCCCCAGCCGCTGCGGACAACGCGGGAGCGCAGCCGCGCGGGGACTCCCTGCAGGAGGCGCCTCCGGCACCGGACGGATGCCCGGGACGCACGGGTTCTCGTGCGAGCTGACCCGGTTCGGCGGGCAGCTTCGCAGCCCGCAGCCCGCAGTCCGCTGCCGCTGCGCGACTCAGCGAAGAGCGCCAGGGAGGCAGCGGCAGAAGTTGCGGAGTGCGCCCCGCCCCTCGCGCCCGCCGCCGCCGCCGCTCCCCTGCGGCAGCCGCGCCGTGTCCCTACCGCCAGCGCCACCGCCACCGCCACCTCGGCGCTGCCCTCGCCCCTCGGGCCCCTGGAACGGGCTTCCCCCGCTGGGTAGGGGCAGTCGTCTCCCCCGCGCGTCCACACAGGGCGGGGGGCGGTGCTCCACGCGTCTCCCGGGATCCCAAGCCAGATCGCTGGTGGATCTGGCTTTGCGGCTGAGGGCTCACACCCCCTCCGACAGACCCGCACTTCCTCTCACTAGTAAACGACCCTTCGGTGGAGGAGGACTAGGGAAGCCAGTGGGTGTTCGGACTCATTGCAAAATGGGGAACCTGGAGAGAATTTTCCCCCATTAATTGAAAAAGCCTTTTCGAGCAATACAGAAAGCAGCAACTTCCGTTTCCTATTTTGACCACTTAAGGGAGAAGGTGAAGGTGGAAAAGGAGAAGGACCCGAATAGGATGAGGGGTGGAACCTCAGAAAGAAAGGGAAAAAAAGGGAGAAGGAAAGATGCCTTCAGGTCTTGCTCCGGGCGGGCGTCTAGAAACAGGCCTCTTTCCTGTGAAACTAGACCCTGCTGCTTTTATATTTCAGCATCAAATTCTAATATGTTGAAAGGAGGATTAATTTTCCCAGGGCACATAAACGAAGAAATGACCAGTTGTAATGTTCTACGGAAGAATCCTGGAGGTGTATGTTGATTTAATGCCTATTGCCTAAAATCCCTTTGGTCTTCAGACCTTGTCACAGTGGCTGATTTTCATTATTTGTGAGACTTACTTTATTTTGCTTGAAGGTTTTATTAGAAGCCAGCAGTGATTTCTTTAGTTTAAGACTCTAAAAATAATTAAATCTATTTTCTTTTCTAGTTAGGCCCTAGCAGATTATAAATTTTAAAAAAAAAGGAATAGAAACCTCAAAATGTATTGATCTGAATGCTGAATAATATTCTCATTCAAGGTGGATATTAGCCCTATTTTTCCAAATAAGGAAACAAACACAATTGCTATTGCCATCATCTAGTAATAGTTTTCAAACCCAGAGTTTTACCACTATTATGCCCATATATTTCCCTATATACATTAAAAAAATTTTAAGTAGGAAAAATAATCCATCAATGGTAGACCAATGTTCACAGCCCTCTCAATATTGTGAAAATGTGAAACTGTCAGGGGCTCTATTCTGCTTGTGATAAGCAGATCAATACAGAATCAAAGATAAATGTAGGCAACAAAACAATGCTATTTGATAGTTGAGAAATGTATGAGGAAATTTCTTCAACCTTATGTTAATACTAAACAATTTCAGATAAAAGAAAACTAGTTTGTAGTGGGAAACCACTTAAAAAATCATTTGTTGACTGTTCAATACAGACAGGGAAATAGAGACCTGGAGAAGTTTAATGACTTGTCCAAGATCACAGGATGACTGCATTGAAATGTCTCAGTTTTTTGGTTTTGTGGTTTAGAGTTGTCTCGAGGCCCCTTAAAAATTCTTTAAGGTAATAAATTTTACAAAATATCTTTGACTTTTCTCACTTTTTTCCTCTTAAGTACTCTAATCAGGTCAGCTTCTTATGTCTCTTTTAAATAATATTCCACATTAATTAAGTATACAGAGAATTTGAAAAGTGAAAGTTCTATTTTTATTGAAGCCTACAGTCAATATAATTTGCACCTACACTCTTAACAGCCTTTCCCAACCCACTTATATCTCGTAGCAAATTCTGATGTTTTTTTGTTTTTGATTTCTAATTGTAGGAGATACAAACTCACCAAATATTCAGTAAAATGCTACTTTCAAATTTACTTTCTCTTGCATTTCAATATCACATCAGGTCTAAACTCCCATTTTTATAGAGCAGTCACCTCTATTATATTATCCCTGGTGATGGCTGAGTGTATTTCCTAAGAGTTCTAGGATTTAATTTATAAGCTGTCACAATGCATAAACATAGTTATTGAAAATCTCAGCTCCTGCAGCATTACCTTGCTTATGTTAAGTTTGAGTTTCATCTATCATTTTATTATCCCAAAATCCTGACAGAACTATCTGGAATTCTTTCAGTTTCCCTCTGACCTTGACTAACAAATAATCCTATCTTCATAAAAACGCTAAAATATTGTGTGTGCTTTTCCACAGTTTTCTCCAAAGAAAAGCTAAAGATACAGCTTCATAAAATTCTCATAAAATACCTAAACATTCATCTAAATTCATTAATTGTTTTTGCCCTCGGCTTCCTGGTGTTTTAACATCCGTACCAAGGTGTTGCCTTCTTCACCACCACTCCCCATCTGCTCTCTCCTCCCACGTGCCCGTTCTTTGGCACATACACGGGAGATAATGAGAGAAGCGTTGCCATCTACATTGAACCATGTCTTCAGACTTAATCCCTTGTGTTTGTTTCATTTAAAAAATAATAATAACTCTGCTGCTTTAAAAGCACCAAACCTTGTCTAGACTCTCATTGCCTATAACAGCATTCTCATTAAATTGTCAATGAGGGCACCTGAGAACTACAGCTTTGTGATTTAATCTCCCAACTTGCAAGCCCCCACTCTCAAAACTGCTCTGGAGGGTTGCAGGAGAGCTGTGAGTCCTTCAATAAGAACTGGCTTTTTATAAGCTCTCCTTTGCTCTAGGTACTCATCTCTCTAGCTCATCCAAATGTGTACGCTTAATCATATCTGTAGAGAACCACACATCCCCATCTATAGGACAGAAGCATAGAAAAGTTTATTTTCCCATGAACTGGCATACGTTGACAACCTAGATTTATTTAAGAAACGCAAATAAAGTTTTCTATGCCGATGGAATCATTAACAACTCACTAGTCAGTGAAGCAAACTAATGTTATGCTGACTTGGGTTCCGAGTAATTTCCAATGACAGTGCGGTTGACTTCCTACAGGACTGTTTTTTCACTTCCCAAAAAATTATAGGTGCTCACTTTTGTACCCCATTGCCTCGCTCAACTAAGTTAACGATCTGGGTGTCCCTTGCCCCCAGGATTGGATAAGAAAAGACTAAGAAAACCACAATGCATGAACAGGTGTAGGGCTAAGATTATTGTGTATAAACATCCAAACACTACCCTGTGGCTGCCAGTCAGGCTGGCACAGAAACAAAACACATGTCTTAGGACAAGGACTGCAATCCGTCAACTGAAATATTGGGGAGGCCCAGTTCGGATAAAAGCAGTTAGTCTAAGGAACAGGAATGTCTCCTTCTCTGTGACAATTCCTTCACCATAACTAATATCCTCCTTTCTAGGCTCTTAAAGCATATTTTTCATGTTTTTTTTCTTTTCCTTCTTTTTTTCTTCAATCCCTCCGCCCTCCCACCCAGCCCTCCAACATCCTCCTAAACAGCTGTCAGCCTGCTGTCTATGGGTCTGTCTCTATTTTGTTAAAACATATTTTTCAAATCTTTATTGTAGCACTTAGTGTTGCATTATGCTTTACATTTACATGACTGTCTTCTCCACTAAACTATGAACCACCAAAGTCAAGGTTATTTTCTTATTCCTGCCATAAACTAGGTGTCCAATAAATAATTGTCCAAAATAATGAATGTAGAATAATGCCTATAACCAAGAATCATTAGTGATTTAAAACAATGACTCAGCTTAAAGTGAGTTGTGAGTTTTGTTTTAACTTAAATACATGTGCCCTTTAATTACGCTACTTTCATTTCCTTATCCCTAACTATAAAAATGTTTTTTTCTTGTTTCTTCCATTTAGAAATTTTTAATTCTCTTTACAAAATAATGTCACCTTTAAAAAAATCTGTTTAAGAAAAAAAGATGAACAGCAAACAGATAGATCCAAAAACACTTGTTTATTTTTTCAATTCCTCAATTCTTTGTACCACTCTCTTTGGAATATAAGTGGTACATGCACACCCCCTAGTGGGCACTCTATTCCTCATACAAATTCACAAAGAGAACGCCCATAGAAAGCTTAACGAATGAGCATTTTTCAAGAAGTTCAAAGTTTCCAGTACACCCATTACAGGTATTTGGAGCATGAACTGTGTGTGAGGCATGGTTACCGTGGTTATTATGTATATATAGTTTTTAACTTTAGAGCTCTGAGTCGTTTCTGGTTAGTAGTTCAATTAAGTTGCCTTGGCAAAATTCTGTCTTGGCAAAAAATCTTGTCACATTGTGTTTATGTTGCGTAAGTCTGATATTAACACTGACCCCTGCAGGAGTCAGTGTTAGTCATGGTTCCCAGTTCTGGGAGGACTACTTTACAATTCTCAAAATCCTTCTCTGTACATAAAAATAAGTCACTTCGAAACGATGTGCCATTTTAAGGCATTATTTCCAAAAGATTTAGTCAAGCGAAAATTCTCACCAATACAAACAGCTTTTATATATTTTCTTGCTTATCAGCTGCAACAGAAAATACCAGAGGTAATTTAGCTTTTTTTATAATTTATCCTGCAAGTTCTAAGCTATATTCCCAAGGTATTGAGCAACAGAATTTACAGTTATGTTTGCAAATGCTAGCTTCTGTTTAGGATCTGTTCTTTCTCTTGCCTTCAATATATACTCCTTGTAAATTTTCCTTCAGTAAAAAGTTTTAGTTGCCTAAGCAATTGTTTTTTACTTAATATGCAACAATTTCAAGACCACAAGACTGAGATGGTTAAATATACCTGTCAACTTGACTGGTCCATGGGGTGGCCAGACATTTGGTTAAACATTATTCTGGTGGGGGGGGGGTGAGGTTTCTTCTGAATGAGATTAACATTTGTGTGAGTAGAATGAATAAAACAGATTAACCTCCTTAGAATAGGTGGATTTCATCCAATCAGTTGAAGGCCCGAGCAAAACAAAAGAGCCTAGCCTTCTCCTGCCTGACTGCCTTCAAGCCCGGACAGTGGTTTTCCTCTGACGTTGAACTCAGACTGAAATATCAGCTCTTCCTGGGTCTTGAGCCTGCCTGTGTTCAGACTGGAACTATAACATGGGCTATGCTGGGTCTACAGCTTGCCAGCCGCAGATCCTGGAACTTGTGAGCCTCCATAGTCATATGACCTAATTCCTTTTCAAAAATCAATTTCTCTCTCAGATAGAGATAGAGATAGAGATAGAGATAGAGATAGAGATATATGTCTGGAGAACTCTAATACAATCAATTATTTTACTTGCATTAAAAAACCAACCCTGTTGAAATTTCAGTCCTTTTCTTTCCATTCATTAAATTTGTCATTGAGCATCGTTTCCACATACCAGTCATAGTTATTCCTTTGATTTCTTTCCTAATGACTCCTTAAGTTGTACTCTGTGTCAGAGACATGCATTGCATCTTTAAAGAGGTAAGAATAATCTCTATTTTCACAAGGCTGATTCTTACAATATGCAAGCCTTCTCTATTTGTCATTTTCAAACTTTTGATATAAACATAAATATAAAAAAATTTCACTTTCATATTAATTGCCCTTTAAAAAAATCTAACATTGCAAGCAGGGCTACACCACCCCAGTTCAGAAGATGGACAGATTCTCATGATCTCAGGTGAGTAACGGGAGTTTCAGGGGTAGGCAAGATGAAAGAGGAATTATTGAGAGAGGCTTCCTGGATTGGTGATGTCCTGTGGAATTCTGTTAGAGTTCTAGGTTTAGCAATTTGACTCCTCTAGAATGCTCTGTCAGGGCCTCTGGGGAAAGCTGAACAGCAGCCTACAGCACAAACTTACCAGGCATGTGACAGAGGGGAAAATACAAGTCTGCTTGGAGGAAGGGCATCTTTTTTTTGATCTGTACAGCAGCTCCTGTAAGTGCTTCATCATTGGGAACAGAAGAGCTCTGTTTGAGTTGTTGATAAATCATGCCAGTGTACCATATGCACAGTTCAGTGAATTTTTGGCCATATATCTAGATCTTTGAATAGATTTAACTGCACTACAATTGTGTTGACATGCGTATAAAGGCTCACGGTTTCAATTTTTAATCTGCAACTTTTGACTGAGTACCACCTACTCTGTGCCAGATCTGGATATACCCCAGACCTCTGTGTTTTACTGTGCCTCAATTTCGCATATCAAAATTTACTTCAAGCATTACTCCTTCCAGAAAATCGCCCTTTATCCTCCCCGAAATCTTTTAGACTTCCCCCTCAATCTGAGAGGGAAGACCCTGTCAGATGCTCTTGACACGCTTGTGTAACTCATGTTATCATACTGTTTTCTCACCTTCCCCCATCTCAGCTGCCAGAGGACAGGCACCCAGTGGAGTGTTTCTTAGCCCAGTGAAGAAAGATGAACCAACTGGGGACAGGATAAGGGCACGGGCTAACCCAGCACACACTGACTTTCATGGGCGAACCAAGAAAAGGGGGACTCGGGGAGACTGAGATGGGTTCAAAGGTTGCTTTGGATGCCAAAACCCATCCTTTCTTTCTGAACTCCCCAAGAAAAAGGCAAAGATGCAAGAATGATCCTCTCTGAGCCCAGGGTTCCTCCTTGATATAACAAACAACAGTAGCTCTCTCACTGGCTGGTTGTGAGGATTAAATTAGATAATGGACACAAAGTACTTAGAGGATTATACAGTGCTACTATTTTCCAGTCAGTAATGACCACTGTCTTCTTCAAACTCCAGAGCCTTGCTGCCTCAGCTTTCCCTCCAGGCTAACATCTGCCCCTCTTCCCTGTTCCTTATTCTGTCCTATCTTTTCCCTCTTCCCACTTTTCTTTTTGCTTTTCCACTCCTTCCTTTCCAGTGCTCCCCTGCCCTACTTCTTCTTTGCTCTCTCACCAGCCCTCCATTCTCCCCTTCCTTTCCCTTCTTGTCCCTCCCTCCTCCTTTCCGGTCCTCCAACTCTCCTCTCTGCTTGCTTTGCCCAGGAGATTGCACACAAGTTGAGCAGTGAAGCAAACTGCCTGAATCCACATGTATTTCCACCATTATCATCTAAGCCTTAGATCTCTCAGATGTAAAATGCATTTGTTGCAAAAACAACCCCAGAAAAGCAGTACTTAATTCACAGTTGCTTTGAAAATTAAAGGAGAAATGTAGGTAAGTACTCAGCAAATTGGCTGGCCTCTGTAAAGTGCTCAATGAATGTGTTCCAATTTCTCATCTTTTCTCTTTCTTTTCACCTAGGCCCCGGGAGAAGGTGAGAAAGTCAATGGTACAGTTGACAGCAACAGCACCATGACTTTCAAAGAAAGAAGCCATTTTTAGCCTAATGCTGGCATCAAATAATTAAATTGTCACCTTATTCAGCTTCACCACACATTGCTCATATTTTTGACCAATCTAGATTTTGTGGTCATAGATGAAATGTCTCTATGAGCCTACAAAATTAACACTAAATTTTCTGATGAACAGCAGAGGGTTTGCTCTGTATGACCTTGTTCTATTTGCAGAAGTAAAAATTTCTTCTGTTTTTACTTAGGAAATACCAAACATTGGAAGAAGCAAAGTATTTCTTTATAGAATTTATCCAAGAGGAGCTTTGCATGCAGATCACTCTTAAAATTCCCTTCTGAGAACCAAAAAGAAATCACGTAAAGGAGTACTAATTAAGATGTGGTCCACAGACCAGAGACTATCTGTGTACTGTTTGTAATAAGTCAATACAGAAATTGAGAATGTTTGGTAAATTTTACAGTGCTTAGGCATTATCTGGATATCCAAGCTCCGGATCAGTGGACTCTTCTTACTCAGCCCAATATAGAGCTTGGATGTTGTTAAATTAGACTTGGGAGGCCAGAGCCGCCTAGTGGTAGTGCGCAAGAATCATGCACTGGTTCATGAAGAACCGGGGTGGAGGGAAATTGCCCTTCATCACACATAATTTGAGAAGCACTGATGTAGTTCCACAATTTTATGTTGTTGGGGAATTGATTTATCAATTTTCCAGAATTCATTTATACAGTCTTAAAATATAGAAACATCAAATATGTGGGCTATACATAACACCATGGTTGAGCCTAGAAAGAAACACCTATCAAGGACTGCTTGTGGTTAACTGGACCCAAATTTATTGAGTCTTGTAGCTATTGTTTACAGAGGCTTCTCATGCACCCTGCATTTTAAGGAAAAGACACAGATTGGGCTGTCAAGCCTCCTGCACTGTTTTCCTGCCACTTGAGACAACCTTTATAAAGGGGGTCCTAATATCATATTTCAACCAATGGACTAAGAATTGCCTCGTCCAATGGAAGCTGTGCAGCTACATCCTCATTTGCCTCTTTGGTGACCAATTAGAGCTGCTCCATGACAAACGAAACGCGTGGTTCTGACCAATAGGAGCCATGCTATTTGAACCAATCAAACTGTGTAAATTTGGGTTCCTAATCTGCATAAAAGTGGACCAATCCGGGACCAGGGCAGGCACCGTCTCTGTAAAAGTGGGCCTTCTTTTTGTCTCAGGGGAGCCCACTTTCCATTTCCTCTGCAAGCTAGATTTCCTTAATTTGTAAATTGTTTACCTGAGGAAACTTTGTCCTTTTCCACACCTCAAACGGGGACTACTGTTGACATTGGATTGGTGGCAGTGGACTTTTGCTTACACCACCTTGTACATTTTGGTACTGGAAAACTGTAAAATATTTCAACTTTGCACCTCCCTTTTCAAACTGCCTTTTGCTAAACCGGTGTTGGAGCCCAGTGCTCATCTTAGGGAGAGCCCAGCCAACTGTGTTTTAAGATGTTAAGCGTGAAAGAAAGCAGCCGTGCCCCGTCACAGCCAGTTCTGATTGGGCAGAAAAGACCCTTTGCTTTTCTCAGGCAGTCCTCTTTAGAGGTTTTCAGGTCAGATTCTCCCTCTTCCAGATAAGCTCACTTTAAACAACGGCATGGATTTTACAGGAAGAAAAAAAAAACCGGATTATTTATGTCATTTTAAAAAGCATTTCAGCTCTTAGAGAGTTTCTGGTTTATGGTACAAGATCGAAAGAATCACTTTCTACACTATTTAACAGGAGAAATGGTGGGAGATTTGAACCCCTCTAGAGGAAACCAAACATTCTCATTTAGAAGAACACAAAGAAGGAATGAAGTGAAGCCGTTGGTTTAAACGCACTAGTTTTTGCTGGTACTTCAAGACGAGCGAACCTTCGGCTAAATCAACCGAAGGGAGCGGCCGACTGCTTGGGTAAACTACAATTCCCAGCATGCCTCAGGGGGCAAACCCGGCGGCTGCGCACTCGGGCGCGCGGACGGTCTGTGACTTAAGCATGGCGGTGTTTGCGGATTTGGATCTGCGAGCGGGCTCTGATCTGAAGGCACTGCGAGGGCTCGTGGAGAACGCCGCTCACCGTGAGTTGTCCTGGCTTCGCGGGCCGCTCTGCCTGCCTAGCTTCGCCGTCCGCCACACAGAGGGGCCACGTGCAGGAGGAACCGGACAAGGCAGGGCCTCATTCAGGTCTCTGGAGTGTCCCTGGAAACTGATACCCACCCAGATGTTGCTGGGCTCCGGAACGCGGGAAATCCGAAATCACTGGGGAACTGTTACCCAGTCTAGCTCCTTCTTTCCTGCAAATTGAGGAAACTGAGGCTGTGAGAAGGTGGGAGGATTTGCATAGGGACCCACAACTGATGGTGGGGTTCCAGATGTAATCTACACCAGTGCTTTTAGTGTCACCCATGTGTGCCTCTCACGACAGTGTCAGAGCAAAGCAGGTGCATAGTGCGGGGAACACTGTGGGGCTCGAAGAACGGGGTGGAGCATGGGGCCTCTAAATGTTGGAATAACATTTAGAGGAAGGATAGGGGAGGGTACATTTGCGGGGGTGGCGGGGAGAGGGGGAGCAGCATGGCCAAAACCCTGGAATGGTACACATATTGAATCCAAGGAAAGCGAAAGCCTTGAAGAGATAAGAACCTGTTTTAATTATTGGAATTAAACATGACTGCTGTTTTCTTTTTAGATCTGGGGCTAGAAGGATTTTAAAATGAGATCCATTCCTTAGTTCCCAGCTCTGTGAGAACTGGTAATGATACTTTTCGGAGATGGTGCTAGATAAAGCCACTCCTTGGCAAAGTGGATTACACCATTTCTTCTCATCCCCTTTATGAAGTATCTATAGAGAACTGACTTTCTCTTTCCATTGCAGTCACTAATTAGCATTCTGAGAATACTTTCCTCGCTAGTAGAAAGAAGGAGGTAGACAAGATGACCTGGGCCATTTAATGCTACTATTTGGTGGTTCCTTTAAAGTCATTTTTTTCTGGGTGTAATTTGTCATGTATTACTTCCTCAGTGAAGCTTTTCCTAATGCCATTGCCTTACGGAATGAATCATGATTTTCTTTCAATAGGGGCCATGTCTTTCTAGTCATTCTTTTATTTATTTTGTGTGCTCAGCAGTCACTCAGCAGCCCTGGCACATGGTGGTTACTCAGTTAATGCTCATGGAATAGATAAACTGCACCCCTTTTTAAAAATATAGAAGAGTTATAATGATTTGTTTAGAAAATTGTCCCAATTTAAAATATGCTTGAGGGAGATATGGTTAAATGTATATACATTTTTACCCAAAATATATAATTAAAATTAAATGAAAAGTCATGACATGACAAAAAGTCACTCCAATTTCTAAGTCAGAGGTAAAGGAATGCTATTTGGTGATTGGAAGTTTTCAAAGAATAGAGATGACAGAACCCTGGTTCTTAGTTTATGGCATGATGTAAGAAGCCAATGCTAAGCTTCAGAAGTATGCTATATAAACCAAAGTTACACCAGGCGCTGACTGCGGAAGTAATCCTGAGGTGCCAGATGAGTAGTTTAGGATAAGTTTGTGGAGAAATTAAATCTAGGTACCATTCCTCAAGGACAGTAGGGACATTGTTTAGGGGTCAAAAGGGTATCGCGATTGGGTATAACAAAAAAACTAGAGCAGACTTGGGAGTATGGTAAAGAAGAAGATTTTGGTGGGGGTTGGTTGCTATGACTGAGTGAAAGGTAAAGCACAAAGTACTGTATGGGCAGATTTCTCTTTTATCTTCTGGTTTTTCCGTATTCTCAACAGTTAGCACCCAGCCTGTCAAGCAATGAATACTCAATAAATATTTAAGTGGGGAAAGAAAGGAGGAAGGAGGACAAACTGGTGACAGGGACGACCACTATTTTGGCATTAATACGCGTTATATTTTAATATACTGTCGTTCGCCCTGCCCCCATATAGTGCTTAAACACTTGAAGATAGGAGTCATGGTTTAGGCATATTTTTGGGAGTCCAAATGCCCGCAGCAGTGCCCTGTGTTGAAGCTGACAGAGCGAGGCCTTGGCCTCAGGGAGTTCCCATTCCTGATGGCGGGGAGTTCAGAAGGAGAAGTGGGGACAGTGGTGTGAGGGAGTCACTACTCCATATCTCCTCAGGAAAAAGGGCCTCTCAAGGAGGTGGAAAGGGTAAGAAGCAAAAGAAATGAGAATACAAGTGATGCTGAAAAAATATAAAGATGGGATGAAAATGAAAAAAGGAATATGAAAGAGAATGGGAGTTGAAAAGGAGACACACAAAGCTAAAGGTGTTTAGTATCTTGCTAATACTATGTCACAGAGGTCAAACAAAGCCTTAAACCTGTGCCAGGCACTGTTCTAAAACACCCTGTGTGTATTATCTCATTTAATTCTCAGTGCAGGTGTATGGTGAGTTCTATTATCACCATTTTGATAGATGAAGAACCTGAAGCTTTTAAGTGGTAATGCTTAGATTTGAAAGCAGGCAGCCTGACACAAGGGCTCATCCCTCTACTGCTCTGCAAATTTTCTCCTTGTGACACCTAGAATTGGGATAGTGCCTCTGTGTACAGGAAAGAGAAGTTGTTATGCTTAAGAAGAATGTTCCATTTTTCTTTTCAGTTGGCTATTCAGTTGTTGCCATCAATCACGTTGTTGAATTTAAAGAAAAGAAACAGGTAAAATTCAATTTCTGAAGTTACTAATAACCAGTTTTTATAAGTATTTATTTATATTGGTAATATAGAACTTACAGATGAACATATTTCCTTGCAATTTTTTAAATGCACTCTGTGCACTATTCTTATAAAAGTTGAGTTGATGCATATTTGTGCAAATGATAGTTTTTTGTGAAGCATGCTATGAGGATTCTTAAAGTTGATTTGATGTTAATTAAGTCACTTTCAGTAGTCACTTTTTTTAAAAAGTGCATTGTTATTGACTGACTGTGATCACAATATTTAATTTGTTTAATTGTCATGGACTCATTAACTAATTGACTTCCCAGTAAACATACTGGTAAATATGTATATTTTTCTTAAGGCTAACAACTGTACCTTACAGATTATTTCAGTCTAAAAACTACTTTTCATCCCTTTTATCCATTGATGCTCACAGGTGCTTCCCTGCTCTTCAGCTTTCTTCCTGTACTTTCTTAAGAAAAAAAGCTAATTTAGTGTTTCTGAATATCAGAAATGAGCTTCCTTTCTTTTTTTAAAAAAAATTATTTTTTTTGCAAACCCCTAGTAAGTTTTCCATTTTTCTTTGCCCCATTAACATGTACAATCTAGGGTGACTGTTTATTGTTTGTTGTAGGAAATTGAAAAACCAATAGCCGTTTCAGAACTCTTTACAACCTTGCCAATTGTACAGGTAGGTGTTTTGTAGTTTAAGAAGCACGATGCCCATTCATTCAGTGCAGACATACCCAGTGATATGTATGGTTCTCCACCCAGCCCGGCCCCTTCCTTTGTCTACCAGTCTTTTCATCAAGACGCAGCTCTTCCATGAAACATTCTGTTACTATTGATTCTGTACTTTGGTGATCTTCTTTCCTGAAATCGTACAACCTTTAAATTATCTCATTATGTAGTTTAATGTCTTTTTTCTCTACCCGTGTTACAAATTCCCTGACTAGGTTTTTATTGATCTTTACTACTCCTATTGCTGATATCTTTTATTGAATACTTCCACTGGTAAAGAGAAAAATCAATCATTTGTATTTTGTGCTTTCATGTTTTTGATTACAGGGAAAATCAAGACCGATAAAAATTTTAACTAGACTGACAATTATTGTTTCGGATCCAGCTCACTGCAACGTTTTGGTAAGTTAATTATCTTCCTTCTCTCGTTTAGACTTATGAGTTGTATTGGTTAGTGTTGAAAGTGTTGTTTTTCAGCTTACCCCATTCTTACACCCAACCTCCACCCCCAATACATGATACCTGCCCGTTCTCCCTGCCCTCACAATTCACATAATATAACAGAATCTCTCCTACTCGTGGCACATGTACAGGAATACCACAATATGTGAGTCCTTTGTAGACTGTCAGTCATTGAACTCACCTGACTAGACATCAGGTGGGTGCTGGGGATATTGCTGTGAATAATGCAGACGCAATCCTTTTAAATCTGTGAGGAATATCTAAAAAGGTGGAAGTAGTAGATAAAGGATGCTCTAGGGGCTACTCTGAGGAAGTTGATGTTCAAGCTGGGGCCAGGAGAATCAGTATGTGTTAAACAGGTGCTGAGCAGGGAGAAAGTGTTCCAATAGAACGGACTATGCAAAGGTCCTGAAGCCAAGGAAAACATGGTGTGTTCTGGGAAATAACACACTGCCCCCAGGGTTGAGCCTTCTGAGCTGCCTGACCTGGGGTGAAGTTAGGGAGGTGGGATCTGGGTAAGCAGTTGGAAGCCCTTAAAGATCTTAAGCAAGGGAGGATTTATTATAGAGAATGGATAAGAGGAGTTAAGGAGGGGATTTGAGAGGCATCCAGGTGGGAGGGTTGATGGGACTTGATGGTCGATTGGGTCTAGGATGGTGACTCCCTGGTGTGTCCTGAGCATCCATGTAGGTGGATGGCGGTCCATGAGATGGGACATACACACAGAAGCAGATTTGAAGGCATGGCATTTGGGACGCGATGGGTTATTGTAAGTTTCCATGGAGACTATCAAATGGCAGTTGGAAAGAAAGGCATGGCCGTCAGAAGAGCAATCCTAACCAAAGATAATGACTTGGAAGTGGTCTCCTGTAGAGAATAACTGAAATCGTGGGAATGGATGAGACTCCCTGGTCCAGGTGTGATGTGAGAAGAGAAGGCCTAGGACAGAGTCCTGAGGAATTTCAGCATTCAGTGGTAGGGGAGGCTAAGCTAGGACTAGAGGCTGAGGAGGAGCTTTCTGAGAAGTAGGAGGACACCAAGGAATACGGAAGAATTGAGGAAGGGTCAGAAGCATCAATGTGCCTCAGTAGTCAGGCAGGAAAAAGGCTAAAAAATGTCTGTTGGATCTATTGACAGGAAAGCCAGTGGTTACTGTAGCAAAACCATTTTTATGGAAGTGACAGGAGTGTGAGAAGGTGCTGAGTTTGCTTGAGAAATTTGACTTTATGGGGGAACAGAAGGCATAAGGAGGTTGGTGGATGAGAACCTGCTGTATAGATTTTGTTTGTCAGAGGGGAGAGACTTGACTATGCCTGCTGCTGATGAGAAGGATCTAGTGGGGAAGAGAGAAGGTGAGCTGCTTTATCTTTAGCTAGAATAGATTCCCCTACCATAGAACAGGAGTTATCAAAGAAAGGCCAGTCTCCTTTAGAACAATTGGCATTGCTAAAGTAGTAGAAAGCCAATTTTGGTATTTTATACAGCTGCAAGGCAGCATTCTGGTTTTGTAGGCCCAGGAAGACATAAATGGAATTGTTTTGTGTTTTTTTGTGGTTTTTTTGGTCCCCTTTCCCAAGTAGGGGTAGACAAGCAGAGGACAGAGAAGCCTGGCTCCTGGATTTCCCTGAAACCCAGAGCCTGTCCTGTCTCGGTCCAGCTCTGCCCAGCAGGTCTTGCCTGCTTAAACAGCACCTGCCACTTCTTTTAAACCCTCCTCTTTTCCTTCTCTACTTTTTATTATGCCTTTTCTTTTACAAAATAAGAAGTTCTAAATATTTATAAAGTGCCAACAGGCAGAGAAGAAATACACATAGTCCATTATTCAGAGATTGTACATTTGAAGATATATTTTTCCAGTGTTTTCACATCCACACACGTACAATATAAATTTGAAATTGTCTTCTTTAAACAATAACTCTTTAACTGATACATTTCTTTCTCTGTATCCTTGGATTCCTGGGTATTTTCCTGTACATCTGGCAGTTTAATTTCTATTTAACAGTATTCTCATCGTGAACCTAATTGCCTCACACTTAATCGAGTGTATTTCTTGTCTTGCAACAAAATGGTGAATTCGGTGAAGGCAGACGTAGCCTTGACTGAAGCTGTACCCCTAGTGTCCTGCATACAGCAGGTTCTCAATCAGTATCCGGCAAGCTCCTCCACTAGCTTGTAAAAGCAACGGCTGTCTAATTTGATTTTTGTATCTCAAATACAATGTTTGATATGTTGGGGTAGCCAAAAAGTTTGTTAAGTTTTTTCTGGATGATGGCTCTAGTATTGCTTACTTGTCTTTAACTTGAATGGAAACAGTTTTGTTAGATTATATTGTGACAGCTGTCATATCAGCGTGCATTTAAAAAAAAAGCAAACTTGTACAACCATTTTAATATTAAAGATGGAAGAAGATAATGCAACATCTTCAATGTATTACGCGTTATTATTTCAAGAAAGGTAAAAACGCAACAGAAATGCAAAAAAAGATTTGTGCAGTGTATGGAGAAGGTGCTATGACTGATCACAAGTGTCAGAAGTGGTTTGCGAAGTTTCTTGGTACTGTTGACGTTTTGGCCAAAAAGTTCTTGGCTGTGGGGGCTGGCTGTCTTGTGCACTGGAAGATGCTTAGCAGCACCCCTGGCCTCTTCCCACTAGAAGCCAATAGGGAGAGCCAAAATATTCCAGATCAATAAAGCTATTAGTGAAAATGAAAAATGTGTCTTTTGTTTTTACAGAAAAAAACTAAATGGACTTTTTGGCCAACCCAGTACAAAGACTTAAAGTGTAACAATGCAGGAAGGAAGGTGGAAGATTGGCGGGATGGATGCTAGTATCGAAATTCTCATGAGCTTAGAAGGGCTCTGCCAACGTACAAAGCAAAGCAAGACTGTTGGTGGCATAATAGTTGGGCAGCCAGACCATGAGGCAAAGTTCCCTGGATACTGTTTTTGTTTCTGTATATTGATAACATTCTTTTTATATTATTAGAGAGCAACTTCTTCAAGGGTCCGGCTGTATGATATTGTTGCAGTTTTTCCAAAGACAGAAAAACTTTTTCATGTAAGTAACAGATTAAGTAAAGGAAAATAGTGTCTATAATTTTACAAAAGAAGTCTGGTTATTATGCCTTTGTAGGTGATCTGTTTTGCCCTCCGTGGAAACTTCTAGGATTTTTCATACACGATTCTGGAATTTCACAGGAGTATATTTAGTTGACATGTGTTCTTTTTTGTTTGTTTTTTTTTTGTTGTTCATCCCACTAGACATTTGACAGGCTCAGATTTGAACAGCCCATCAAATTTTCTTCTGTTTCTTTGTCTCTGCTTCATTCATTCTTTTATTCATCCATTTATTCATTCATTGGAAACTTCTGTTAGTAAAGTTGGTCTTTCTCGTTGTGGTTGTAAAATCACTTCAGGTTCTGCTATATGCTGCTGACTGTTGGGGAAGAAAGGTGTAAGGTTCTACGTGGCATAAAAGCTCCACCTCTGACTTTTCTCCGCTGCATGCTTTGCGGTGTGGCCCATGTGCCACCATGATCACGTCAGCAGTTAGTCTTCCAGAAATTCTCCAAAACCAACCATCTGCTAACACTATCCTCTGTCCTGAACTGAGAGCTATTATGAATTTAATTCCTTTTGTACCATTTCTGTGACATTTTTCGGGGGGAAAGCTGTATAACAGGTATGCTCAGTTTTATCAACATAAGTCAGAGCATACAGGACATTTTAAATGATTCTAGAAAAGGAAAAATATCAGCGGTAATACAGTTCTTCAGGAATATGTTTTACATTGTCCAATGAGGTCTAGATACTTTCAGAAACTTCCTAACGTTGTCTTTAGATTCAAAAAAGTATCCATGTGCAAAAATGTATATCCAACAGAGGGGTATTAAAGGAAAAAAAGTACTGGTCTTTGAGAGTTTAAATTTTACAGCACAGTTCATTTTTAAACAAAATCTGTTCTAAAATTATAGGAAGATATTTGCCTAAGTTTATCCAGTAGATGGAGCTGTGGACAAAGGAGACTGATGTGTGGTCAATTTAGTTTTCAGGCAACCAATGAATGTATAAGTGGAACAACAAATAGTTGTTTCTCACCACCCCCTTACTTCCCCCTATCTCTAGAAATGAATTCTTAGTTGTTTATATTGTTGCAGGGAAACAGCACCGCTTATCTATGAGTAACTTTCTTTTTGGCAACTCCTTTCATAAAATGTTGAATTACAGTAATTTTCAGTTTTGTTCAGAGAAAGGGGTCAGTAGAAGGGAGTGGTTCTTAGTCCTCAGAGGCCCCTGTGAAACTTTTTAAAATCACGGGTGTTCAGCATCCTCCACTGGAGATTCTGGTCCAGTAGGTTGGGCATTGAGTCTGGCTGGGTATCTGTTTCACATTCCACAGGAGATTCTGATTCATTGATGGAACCTTGGTGTACAGTAGGACTGTGGGTAGTTTCCAAATTTGTTAAATAGTAACTTAGCTTTGTTATTAAGTAGCAACTCATTACGTTATACACTAAAAGTTGGTAACATACACATTGTTTGTTGTAGTACGTTTTTTTCAAAATTGACTTAGAAGAAGATATAACTTACATTTCCGTAGCCATTTACTGGTGATTAGAGAATCAAACAGGACCTTTGAAACATGGCATTACAACTGTAAGGCATCTTTGGAAGGCATAACCTTCCAAAGACTTTCACACATTTTTCACCTTTAATAAAACAATCCTGAGGGATAACTGGGACACATGTTTGTTACTCTCCCCATTTTGTAGAAGAGAAAACTGAGGCTCAGGCTATTCGATTTGCTCTAAATCTCAGGTAGTATGTAGTAGAGCTAGGACTCCTGGGTTTTAGGATACATTATAATTCCATACAATTTCATCTTAGTTATTTATCTTATTACTTATTTTTCTCAAGACTATTAAAAAAATGAATTTAAAAGCATGAACATATGCTTGACGATGTTGAGTGAAACAGAAGTATTCTGGAGGAGGGAAGAGAGCTATAAATAACTAACACAGTATTTGTTTAAAATTGATTGTACAGATATACTCAAAAAGTTACGTAAAGCAGTTTCTAAAATTGGAATATCTCATCCTCTTATCTGTCTAAATCTTACCCATGCTCTAAGACACAGCTGAAGTGATCACTCTCCCTGTTTTCTATAGAAAATCAATTTAAATAAACCCTTTTAAAGTATATCATGTCCTAGAATCAGGTCACATGCAAGCAGTTTATTGTTTAAGAGGTTGTATTCTGTAATTGATTCCATTTGTTTGGTTTGAAGGTTGATTAATTTAGCAGGTATCCCTGTAGATATGATATTCTAAAACTGAGGTCTCTGTGATGAGTCATAAAAGCATACACACACATACACACACACATATGTTAACAATTAGTGGGATAAAATCTAACCACCTTAAATAGCATTGTTTCCATGGGAAATAACATGCTCTTTTTCACTAGGAATATCTGGAAGATGTCTCATAGATAAACCCTTCCCCTGCATAGCTACCCGAGGGAAAAAGGCAAAGATGAAAGATTGTGAGGGGAGTCCATTGGGCAGAGCTCCTGGGGATGCTGGAGGTGCGGGGAGGGGGATGTGGCAGAGAGTTACAGAGGAGCTCCAGGAGCTTCTGAATTAGTTATTCCTATTTAAGGTTTAAAGTTGGTTGGAGCATCGTCCCCATATGCCAAGGTCGCAGGTTCAACCTCCGGTCAGAACACATAGAAAAAGCAACCAATGAATGCATACGTGGAACAACAAATCGGTGTCTCTCTCTTTCTCTCTGCCTCCCCCACCCCTTCCTGTCTATCTCTAAAAATCAATAAATAAAATTTCTAAAAAATAAAGTGACTGGACAAGGTCAGATGAATTCAGGTTATTTGGTCCACTGGTCTCCAAATGACTTAGATGGTACACCCTTTCAATTCAAAAAAATATTGAAGCCACATCCCCCATATATATATATATATGTTTATTTTCTTATAAGTTATTTACATATTTTATTACACTGTGCTTTACATATACACATGCACACATACAAGTTTTAAGAGATTAAATTTAAAAAGTAAATGGAGATAAAAGTTCTGCTTGCTTCCTGATTCCAAAATCCACACCTGCTACCTGCAGGGGTGTCTAACCCGCAGCCCAACACAAAACCGTAAATGTACTTAAAACATTATGAGATTTTTTGTGTGTGTGTGATTACATGTTGCAGTGTATTTAATGCGTGGCCCAAGGCAACTCTTCTTCCAGTGTGGCCCAGAGACGCCAAAAGATTGGACACCCCCGTAAGAGTTCTGTTGTAGAGTATGCTACCAATATCTGAGGCTCTTGAGGAAAGTGGGTATTTTTCAGGACAGTGCTTCTGGTTCTCCCAGCTTTAGAATTGCTGGGGATATTTGTTAAAATGCAGGTGATTGGGCCCTGCTTCTGAATTTATCACTGGGAGTAGGGCCTGGTAGTCTCCATTTTTAATTAATTTCTTCAGGGAGTTCTTTTTCCCACACTTTAGGTTGAGAGGTACCGTTTATGGGCATCTCGCTTTTCCCAGGGGGAGCATAACTCTCCCTTCCATAATAGGTATCATAATATACCAAGACATATTAACCTGACATCCATGAAGGGAATTGGGAAGTACTATGAACCCCTATTTCCCTGTCCCCCTTGTCTTATAAAATTAAAATAAATGTATGAGTATATGTGTGCATTTTTGAGAATACACTTTTCTTAAATCCTCATAGGAAGCCTTGGCCAAAAAAAAAAAAAAAAAACAACTGATATGAATTCATATACAACCTGCAAAAACCACTATAATAAGATTCTTAACCATAAATATATTTGGACATACTTAATCTTTTTTAATGATTTAGAAAGTGTTTCATTATAATGTGAACAATGCCCTTTTTTTTTTTAAGTTATCTAAATGTAAATCAGTTGAACATTTGGATTAATAGAAAGCTACATAACAAAAGAATTCACCTTGAGACATTCTAGGTTTGAGGTGTCAGAGGGGCCAAATGGACTGTCCTTTGTTACTGAAAGTTTATTACAGTGCATGTAGTTAAACCAACACAGGGGTTATATTTTAATAAGCTGGTTATATGGGATAGAGAAAAAAGGACGACTACATTAGTAAAAAGTAGCCTAATTTTAGTTTTCATCTGGGGAAGAATGTTTCACAGGCTTAAAAAAATGATCAGCTTTCTTAGTGAAAAATAGTTTGTTTTTGACAATAACTTAGTATACATAGGTAAGCATTGAAAAGTACACTTTCCTTCCACCTAAAACTTCCTCTCCCTTTTCTCCAGGGGCAACCACTGCTAACAAATGTGTATCTTTTCAGAAATATTTTTTACCCAGTCATTTCTTCCTTCATTCCCCTCTCCACCCTTCTTTCTTATGTAACACCATGCATTTTTCACTTAAGGGTAGATCTTGGAGATGGCTCCCTAGTTAGAGAGACACCTCAGTCCCTTTTAGGGGTCAGCATATTCCATTGTGTAAGGGGACTATAAGTAAAATTGGCACGTTTCATTGTGTCTAGTCTTTTGTGATTGGTGTTTGCTCTTGAATACTTGAGCATTCATAGAGTATATAGCTACAGAATTTATATCTAGAGTCTATAGGATACGGTCCGTGTGCCCTTAAAATGTTGATGCCTCTCAATAAAGTACTTTTTAAGACTCCAGTGATTTAAGGATCCTGTGACTACCTGTTTTTTCATTCTTACGTCAGCAGTGTATTCCTGAGCTTTTTGATCTTTGTCATTCTGATAGTTACAAAATGGTGAACAGAAGCTGAACTCGCGTTACCTGCTCTTCAGAGCTTTCCTTTGTCAATTCTTATTAAATTTTCAATGACTTTTATGAGTTGGACAGCTGTGGCAGTTGGGATGGGGCAGATTCTTTATGAGCCAAGTGTTTTTGCCAAAACAGTGTTACTTCCCAGGCTTACTAGGTTTCTAGGACTGCCTTAAAGCCAGGGAACCCGGGGTGCGGGCAGGAGCGACCAAAGCGGGGGTTCTGGAGAAGCCCCTCTTATTACCCTCCTTACCCCTCTGCTTTGCTCCGTCCTTTACCTTGGTCTGTGTCACTGAGGTTGGTTTGTCAGCATAGCCACCTGGCAGTTTGAATTTGTCCATGGATTCTGTATGTGCCGGCATTGTCAGTATGTCTTATTTTTAATACAGTACAAAACAGCCAATCCTTTTTATCTCTGTAAATCAAATAATGGCAAAATCAGAGCCAGACATGGATCTTCCAGCGGAGTCTTTTGGCCTGTACTTTTAAGCTAGTAACCTTCTCCCAAGTTTATTTTCCTTCCCCGGTTTTCCTTTTATACTGATTCCCTTATCTGTTTATTTTATCTTGCATGCAGTTTTTGTAAGCGCTTTCAAATCTCTTTTGGATATAAATGCAGAGTATTAATAAACAACTTACAGCAAAAATTAGAACAAAGCAAAGGGAAATGAAAGGCTGAAAAATGCATTCAGTATCATCTGATTTTTAACAGCTCTGTTTTGACCATTTATGTAGATTGTTTTTATTAGTTTTTAAACAAAATGGCATTGGTACCATCATGTTAATGTTTCTTTAGCCACTCAGTAGGCTGGTAGGAACCACGGGCCTAAGACAACTTGTAGCACAAAAATGAATGATTTGTGGGGAAAGTGGAGCATATGGCTTGTTCTTTTCTTGGATTTCAGAGAGTCAGTTTCCCCTTTCTAGAACAGTCTGACCTTCCACAAACCAAGCTGCCTTTCGTAGCAATCCATCCTTACGTAGCAGACTACAAGTAACAGCGCCACTGGGCCCTGTCGGCTCAGAAGGTCTATGGATATGCAACGCGGCTTCAGCTAGATTGTAGGTAAACCGTTCAAGCCAAACCTGAAGGAATGGCTAACCATTGATTTCATATTTCAACAGGCGTATTTCAACACAGAATCATCATAACACCTTTGGAGTGAACAACATCTATCTATATTTCTTCATATTGGGACTGATCTTAGTTCCCATTCTTAACATGTGCCAATTTTCCTTTTGGTTTCCCCTCTCCCCACCCACCCTCCCCGCTTTTTTAATGTCTGTTATTATTTATTTGCTACTCTTAGAAAGTATGTTTTTTGACTGGACTCAGACTCAGAGGTAGATGCTCTCAGAGAGGAAACCTATGTCACTTGGCAGTGTGTTCGGGCAATTTTCTTTGGCCTCCTCCATTCTTTTAGCCAAGAGTTTGGCATATTTTGCAGCCTCTCCCTTATTTTTCTTAGTATGTTGTTTCTTCAGGTACTACATCAGTGTCTGTATTCAGGACACGTGGAGTAACAAGACACTGAATCTCGGTGCTTTAGTCCAAGTTTTCTTACCTTCTTTATTTAAGGGCTTTCTCACAACATATTGATGGACATCATCTTGTTTTGAGACATTGAAAAGTTTCTGGATTCTGCCTGCTCTTTTGGGCCCCAGGTGACAAGTAGTATCAATAAGACCAGGAATATCTTTCTCCCCTTTTCTTACAATGACAATGTTGAGAATACTGAGCTTAACCCAAAATGCAGCCCCAAACAGATTTGCATTTTCTCTCGCCAGTCCTCTTCAGTCTGTAACAGGAATGTCCCTTACTCAGTAGCAGGCGGACGGACGTGGCCACGGGTCTAGACACCTGCTTCATGGAGAAACCTTGTTTGTCGTTTCCACGACTGATTTGAATTACATACCGCTTCCATTTTTCACCCAGACCATCAGCAGCAACTTCAGTGGCAATACGCTTCTCACAGAAGGTGGAAATTTGCATTCATCGTCCACTTCAATGAGTTTCTGGCATCCATTGTCTGGGAAAGAAATGTTCGCCTTCATTCTGAAGCAGCCAGCCACCTCTGAGGTGCCATGAAAAAGAGCTTACCTTTTTTTTCTTTTCGACAGGTTGCTTGTACACATTTAGATGTGGATTTAGTCTGTATAACTGTAACAGAAAAACTACCATTTTACTTCAAAAGACCTCCTATTAATGTGGTAAGTGTTACTCTTTCCATTCTCTCCTTGAATCTGTAGAAACTTAGATTAACAAACTGGACAAGGGGCAGAAGGAACCAAAAAAAAAAAAAAAAGGCTAGAAATGAGCATTTTTAAAAAGAGGATCTTACATTGCTATACTGACTAAAGGGGGGGGGAAGCTTAAAATTAAAAAAAAATCAGTAAATTATGAAGACGTTTTTGAAAGGCCTTACAACTCAAAATTTATGAAGGATATTTCTTGGAAGGAAAGCTAACAGTGTTGGACACTTATAGGCTGAACATTGAACGTTAAGGTTACAAAAGAAGGGGAAGGAAAAAAATGTTCCTGGAGGCACCAGTGAGCTGGAGGGGGGTGGGCAGGAGGGAGCAGGGGATGGAAAGCAGAGCAGGCCTGGTCCATGCAAAGGGAACATCGGCACTGAAGCACGTGGCGTTACCCAGCAGCCCGGGCCACTTTTATAATAACCTGATAGGGGAGCCATGCATTCAGGGGACTTTTCGTTCCTCCTCCTGCTGTAGCATTTTCCTCCTCACCTCTCGACCTAGTTTCTCTTGTTTTCTCTACCCTTCATCTTTCCTCTGTCATGCTTTCTTGTAAAGCCTTACTCCATCATTAGGTGATATTTCACTTCACTAGCAGGAAGGCCAGCACAGCTGACAGCTATTTGCATTAGCAGCCAGCTCCTCGGGAAGGTGGGCTGCTGTTATAGAAGAGTGGTTTTCCAACGCTCCGCCTCCCATTCTCAGAAACTATTATGGAAGGCGACAAAGAGTGTAATAAACAGTCCAGATTATATACCTGATCCTGTCAGAATTGGAAAACTAAAAATGTACATATTTTTTCAAGATCGAGAACTCCCCTGTTCTTTTGTCTCTGTAGAGTTGCTTTCCTGTCTCTGCTGCTAAGGAGTTGGCTCCATGCCAAGACTAGAGGGAGACAATGAGGAGAAAATTGATCTATACGGTGTGGAAAAACTGAATTCAGTGTGGAAAAATTTTAGTTGGCTTATGTTCTACCCCTAAAAATATTCTACTAAGACTGTACTTGAAAAGTATCCAAAATATTAAAGTCATATATTTAAAGTGAACAGCTCTTTTCTGATAAATAAAGAACATACAACAATATTGCTTAAGCTCAAATCATCGTTTCCCCCACATTGTTGCCAGAACTTACAAATAAATAAGTAAACACTTAAAAGAAAAAAATCTGAATCATCACATTTTAGAATTGGAGATCTGTGTTAACAGCCCGCTTATCAAGTGTGGTAAAATGAAGACTAGCAAGGAGAAGCCATTGAGCTCATCAGTCACAGGGCTGGGACAGTGCTGTTGATTCCGTCACATGAGCTCTCTGCTCTGCCCAGCTACCTATTATAAAAGGCATAAACTTAATATAGTACCCAAGGCAGTGACTGTCTTGTTGGCCTCACATACAGCTTCTGTCCATAAGTAGTAATCTTTGACTCCAGGAGTTTGCCAAAGCCTTACCAGCCTCAAACAGTCAATCCATTTCTAGATGGCACCACCTGGCCTCAGTCAGTGAAGCAGCTCTGTAAAGTGCTATTAAATGTATACCTTTTTACCTTTCTCTCCACCTTAATGATATAGGAAGGCTATTTTCTAGATGGCTTTCCCTGAGTCAGGCCACATACAATACTGTGTCCTTGGTTGGCAGGACATAGTAGCCTGTGAAGCTAAGGCCAAGTCCATAGAGTGGACAGCAGTGCACCTAATTCCTTATGTCCTAAAATGGCTAACTGGGAAGCTTCCCAGTTGATAAAGGCTTTCAGTTGCTTTCTCATGAACATGCCCTACTGTTCAACCCAGACTGTGAGCTTCTAGAGAGCACCAACTATATCTTGGTCCTTTCTTAATTATCCCACTCTCTTGCCTATATTGGGGCCTCCCTAAAATATCTCAGTTTAATGAGTGTATGTCTAGCTTGGCATATCAGTGTGCGGCTCCAGGACCAGACTAGATCCTGCAGGTCCCGAGTCCCAAGTCGGTCGTCAGTGCTGGGCCGGTGGGGAGAGTGGGCCACAGGGATGGCATGCGGAGAGAGCAGCACTTAGACATCCCACCGCCCGATTCCATCTGTAAGCTCAGGGAGGCTGCTGTTGTTTGATGATATTTTTGGCTTAATTTCCACATTTTTCAACTTAAGAATTCTGAAAAGTAAAAATTTGACAAGTGAGAGGGATACGAAGTATTTAACACAGTGTCCTCTTCTTTATAAATCTGGTGTGAACATTTTACATATGTTGTTTAATAACGAGATGATGGAGCGGAGGGAAAGGCTGCACAAGATTATTTTTAGTCTTTATCTAATGTAGAAGTAGGCTGCCGTGTGAGTTAGGGAGAAGAGTCCCTATTAATTTATTCACCTAGTTCTCATTGAAGAGAGAGGAATCTGGAAACATACAATAAAAGGTGTCCAGCTGCTTGTTCAGGGTAAATCATAGTTCTGTAGTTAACTATGTATCATTCGTATCTGATCACATTAAATCTGTTTATAGAGCTGTCTGTCTACATTAATGAATAAGCATGTATTCGCCGGGAAAACACAGCATAGAGTGAATGTGGTTAACAATTGAGTCTTGGTCCCTGCCTGCTCCTTTGGCCTTAAGGGTAAACTTGTCTTTGGCCACAAAAAATTGATAGGTTGGCTTTATAAGGATCCCTTTATTGAGCACAGGAGGAAACAGCACAGATCTTAATCTGGCTAGCATTTGTGCTCTTTTCTTCTGTGGTGTTGAAAGGCGGGAGCATTAAGATAAGGAATTCACTTGTCTGTTTACCTAGAGGCTGGTTAGCTATGTGAGAATTGTCAGCCCAGAAGGTTGGGATTGTGAAGGAAGGCTAGATCCTGCTAAAGCACTCCATTTGTATAATGTATAGCTCTTGTCCCTTTTGTAATCTTCACTTGCTCAGGGCACCATAATTTCAATGATGTGATTCGCTCTAAAGTCTCCTGCAAACCGCTTCTGGAGTTTAGAGTATGGGAATCACAGCTTTATCATGTGATAATTGGGTTTCTAAAAAATGGAATTTAACTTCTCTTCTTGGATAGTCAAATAACTTCTAATCATTTAGCATTTATAGTTTAGGCCCTTTTACACCTGCTGCAGCCCAGCAGTTGAGGCCAGGGTAGGTGTGAATGATCTCCTCTCTGCAGGGAGTGGGACTGAGACGCAGGGCCTTTCTGACCCACACAGATACACTCTGACTTGGGATTTGTGCTCCCACTTTGATTCTAACCTGCTGCCATTCCCCACCACAGGGAACTGCTATTTAAAGTTATTTTACAGCAGAGCTCTTTATTAAGCACACAATAATTTTATATTTTGAAACATAATCTTTATGAATTCAGGTTTTGAGAATTTTTTTAAGCAGTACATACCCTTCCTCTCCCTTTGGGTTTTTTTGGGGGGGTTTTTTTCAGTGTTATTGCCATCCAGCAATGACTTCAAGTATGTAGAGTTATTTTCGCTGATTGTATGTTTTATGCTCTTTTTTTTGATGTTTTTCCCTCAGCACTCCCTTGAACCCTAATCCATTTCTATCTTCATGGTCTAGTTCCCCACTGAGAGATGTCCAGCAAATAGTGTCTGAAGCAGTGAGGTTGTCCCAGGAATCATGCCACATGTACTTGATTGGGTGTGAGTGCTTTATAAACTATTTTTTATTACACATTGTGAACCAAAATGTGTTAAGTACTTCATCGATCAGGTGCTTGGACCAATGCCAGCACACTTGCCAGTGTCAAAAATTTGTGTAGAAATCAATCAATCAATCACCAGAAACAAAGTTAAAAGATTAATCAGAGACTGGTAAAAATGTTTTTACTCATATCATAGACAAAAAAAAGAACAAAACCGCTATTCTTAATAGGTGAAGAACTCCTAGAAATTGAGAAGTTAATTTTTTTTAAAAAGATGAACAACAAAAAATGGATTAAGTATATGAAAACAACATTTCACAGGAAAGGAAATACAAATGGCCCTTAAACATACAAAAGGATGCTTAAAATTCATTATAATAGGAGAAATTCACATTAAAATCACCTGTCTGAGTGGCATAAACCCAGATACACTGTTGTAAACCTGTGGGAAAGCAGGCTTTCTCATGCACTGACTGGAAGTGTGAATTGGAACCGTCTCTGTGGGGGAGTGGTTCATTTGGTAACAGCTGTCAAAGTTACAAATGCTTTACCCTCTGACCCAGTGTATTAATAACAGAGTACCGCAAACTGGGTGGCTTAATTAAACAGAAATTTATCATCTCACGGTTCTGGAAGCCAGAAGTCCAAAATCAGGATGTTGGCAGGGTAAATCAAATGAATTAGCCTGGCTACCACTGTGGTCATGCTCCACAGGTTTTAAAAAAAGATAGCATGTTTTGCCCTGACTGGTGTAGCTCAGTGGGTTGGGCATCGTCCCGCAAGCCAAAAGGTTGCTGGTTCGATTTCCTGTCAAGACACATGCCTGGGTTGTGGGCCAGATCCCCCCTGTTGGGGGCGTGCAAGAGGCAACAGATTAATGTTTCTCTCACATGTCAGTGTTTCTCTCCCTCTCTTTCTCCCTCCATTCCCCTCTCTCTAAAGTAAATTTAAAAATCTTAAAATAAATAAATAAATACCAAAGCTTTTTTTTAAAAAAAAATATGTTTCAATTTTTTCGTGTCTGTAGACTACAGTATGGAAGCTAAAATTGACATATTTTAATGTAAAGTTTTTCTGTGCTTTGATTTTTTAATAAACTTTGGAAAACAGAAAAATATTTTAAAAGAGATGTTAGCAGGGTCCTTCTTTTTCCAAAACCTGTTGAGGAGTTCTTTGCCTCTGCTTAGCTTTTATTGGTTAGCTGGCCATCTTTTTGGTGGTCCTTGGTTTGCAACTGTGTAACTCTAATCCCTGTCTTTGTCTTCACAATGTGTTTGTTCTCCCTTCTTCTGTGTCTTCACACTGCCACCATCTTATAAAAACATCAGTTGTGCTGGACGAGGGGCCTACCCTATTCCAATACAACCTCATCTTAACTAATTACATCTACAGTGAACCTATTTTCAAATAAAGTCACATAGACAGGTACTGAGGGCTAGCACTTCAGCATGCCTTTTATGGGGAGACACAACTTAACCCATAATGCCCAGAAATTCCACTTTAGTGTTTATTCTACCGATATATGGAAACAACTCAAAGTCTATCAGTAGAGACTTGGTTAAATAACTGCTATACCTGTACAATGGAATACTGTGCAAGTATGAAACAATGCCAAAGTTAGGATCTGACATGGAAAACCCTTCAAGTAAGAACAGGAATGTAGCAGGCTACCTTTTGGGTAAAAAAAGAGAAAAAATAATATATATTCATATTTGCTTATATTTGTTTGAAGAAGCTAGAAGAAGACAAGAATTGAACAAAAGTGATTATGGGAAGTAGGGATAGGGCCAACAGGAGCAGAGATACTTTATTGCTTTCTTATGTTACTTGATTTGTGAATCATGTAACAAATTACCTATGTAAAAGAATGGTACACCAAGGGTGTCATCCTTTGAATTCAGTAAAGAACTAATTTTTATGAAATTAACAGGGAATTCATGTATTATCCCAGTAATCAACTCCCTATTTTCTTTCGCTTTTCATTCTCTTAAGCTTTGGTTAGTTCTTGGAATTTTACCACCGATATCGCTTGATTCAAGTATCACACACCTGCCCTTGGTTTGTAGCGTCGTTGACTGTTATTTTTCATTAGTAAAGAAATCTCCCTATTTCAGAACCTTTGGTCAGAGAGCGAACAAGAGCCAATCAGGCAGGCACTGTCATTCTTTATAAAAAGGCTGCTGTGAACTATCATTTGATGAGTTAAGGCAATTTTCATTAAAATGGCCTTAGAAGAAAGAGCCCAGGTAATGACTCTCTATTTTATCTATCTAAAAATCTAAAATAAAGTGTTATGAAAGGAATGTTCACAGCCTTCAGTAGTGCAGTATCTTTCATTTCTCTGTTTTGTTAGTAATTTTAAAGGAAACTTGATTAATGTACTATGATCAAAATCAGACCATTTTTTCTTAAAAAATAATTAAGCTGATAATTATGTTCCTTTTTCTTTCCCCTCCCGCCTCCCAAAAAAAGGAATTTTATTTTGATCCGATCCCCGTGGGGGGTGGGGGAGCTAAAGCTTTAGATCAATTAAGAACGCTTAGGGACCTAGTCATCTGGTTTGGTGTGTCACCCACATCTGTTGTTTGCCCTCCTCCCCAACCTTCTGCCTTGTGTTTTATTTAGTTCAGCAACTAGAAGGATGAGGAAAAGAAATATGGCAGCCTCTTTGGCTAATTAGTACTTTTGGTAAGAGAAATAGCTAGGGGGATAATTGAGAATATGGCTAAAGGAAGTGTTTTGGTTCGTCAGTGAATTTCAGTTTGCCAAATTCATCCTGATTTCTTTTATGGTGAATAATCCATAGTAAACAGCATTATCACATGACCTTTTTTCCATAAGCTACTATGTATTTACTTAGAATATAAATATATCAAGCACTTGTATAAATGAGTTGTGTGTTACAAAAAAGCAATGTACCAGCTCTCAAGAAGTGTAAAGCTACGAAGAACAAGGTGTACATTTAACTGTGGGCCAAAGAGCATCATAACCTATATCTTCCCAGAAATAATCATCACAAGCCAAAGAATTAGAGTTGAGGAAAAGTTCTCAGAAAAGAGGAGAGGGGAAGGTTACAGTGTAGAAAATAGCATGTAAATTCTAACTAAACTAATAACAGATATGTAGGAAAATCCAAAATAAAATCTGGGAGCCTCAAGACAGCAAGAAAAATTAAGGAGAGGGATGGTTGTGGAGTGGAGGAAAGGAAATCTGTGTTCAGGAAGGGTGGGAGGAGGAGACTGCCAGGTACACCTGCTTTGAATCAAGGTGGGCTGCCAGATCCAGAAGAAGACAGGATTTTCCATTCCCTGTACGCACTCCAGGGTGGACCCCCGGAGGTACAGTGCCAGCTCGCCCTCTGGGTAATAGAACCTCCTTTGCCAGGCAGACTTGGACCATACAGACTTGGTCTGTCCCTGTTTGCCTTCTGTGGCTCATTCCAAAGACCACTGTAACCCGGTGACTGCCACATCTTCACCCTGAAGTCCTTCTCTCTGCTTTTAGATTAATCTTGTCACCAGTTCTAAAGGCCTGCGCAGTTGGCCCTTTCCATCTCTAGCCTCCACGTTCCCCGCAAGTCTCCCCCTTATTCTCTCGGTAGCCTCACTTCCACCGCAAGGCCCCCCCCCACCTTCCGCCCTCCATCGCCGTGGTCGCCTTTGTCCTCCACGTGCTACCAGGCTCTCTCCAACCCCGGAGCCTTTCCCCGCACTCCTCCCTCCCTCTGCTAGGGCTCCTCCCTCTGCTATTTAACTACTTAATTCCTTCCCCACCCATTCCCAAACCTCTCCTGGGTAGCGCTTATCACAGTTGAAGGTTTGTGTTTTGTGTGGTTATTTGATGGTCTCCTCACCACTAAACTGTAAGCTCTTAGAAGAGAGGAACCACGTCAGCTTTTTCTCAACATTCCCATGCATAGTTGGCTTGCAACATATCTGTTGTAAATGGACGAAGGGGAAAGCCGAATAGGGTAGTGGTGGATCTCAGTTTTACTTCCACAACTTCCGGGATATTTTCCTACCTGTGGATGCCTACCTATTCACAATGCCTTAAATAAGAAAGACATTTCTTTTTTTTCCTCATATTGAAGGCCAAGCACATGGTGAGCTAGGCAAAATTGTCAAGGGCCCAGCTTTCATGGGCATCCATGAGCCCAACTTAAAATCAGGGGCTCTTTTAGTAAAGAAATGGGGGGAAAAAGTATCAGAGGCAATTCGCAATCTCTGCTATAATGCCTTATAAAGGTGGCGTAAAGGTTAAATATATACATAAGACCCTTAGCACGGTGCCTGACTCACAACACTCACCCCTGGCTATTTGTATTCCTTCTTTCAACATACATGTAATAAGTGATGTATCCAAGAGGACTTCCCACCCCGGTTCTTTGGAAATTTTTCAGCTCTTTCTTTCTTTGTCTCTTCATTTTTGGGTCACATTACTTAGTTTACTATGTTTGCAGACAGTTTACCCGAAGTATAGGGGGCACATCTCTGTTTTCCTTTTGATAATTCAAGTAATAACAGCTCATTTGCCACCCCCACCCCTCCGGGACTTTGCTGTCCGTAGCCTTCCCAGGATTCCTGTCAGCCTCCCCACCGCTAAGGTAAACTCTGTTCATCAAGTCGAGCCACAGATCTGTTTTCTCCCGTGGCTGGTGCTATGTGGGCGTAAGTCCACCTCTGTTGGAGGCTGTACTTCGACATGCAGGAGGTGGGCAGTGGGGGGTGAAGAGGGAGGTGAGATGGAACTCTGATGAAAATAGAGAAGCACAATGTGTGTTTATTCTTGACAGTTTATTTTCTTTATTTCCCGTGAAGGCGATTGACCGAGGCGTGTGCTTTGAACTTGTCTACAGTCCTGCTATCAAAGACTCTACAATGAGAAGGTATACAATTTCCAATGCCCTCAGTTTGATGCAGGTCTGCAAAGGAAAGGTATGGTTTCATAATTTCAGGGTGCTTTTTAAATCTAGCAGTTTATTACTATTAATCCACTGGATTATCAAACGGATTCCTTTTTCTTAGAGCAGAAAGTTCTCAAGGCACAAGAACAAATTCTGCCATTTCAGTCAGCTCTTCAAGTTTTAAAGGGAAGGAGAATATTGAGAAAAGAATAATGTGAGGAGAGCAAGATGTGTTGAAAGCCTTTCTTTTAATAAGGAGTTTGCAATTTAGCCACTATGGAAAGAGTAGTCTAGATAATAGTTGTTTGTGGTCAGTGAGTTGACTTTAGATTGCATGACCTTGCAACTAGTTTTTTTTTTTAAAGATTTTATTTATTTATTCTTAAAGAGAGGGGAAGGGAGGGAGAAAGAGAGGGAGAGAAACATCCATGTGCAAGAGATGCATCAGTCGGTTGCCTCTCACATGCCCCCAACTGCGGTCCTGGCCCACAACCCAGGCGTGTGCCCTGACTGGGAATCGAACAAGTGACCTTTCAGTTCACAGGCCGACACTCAAGTCACTGAACCACACCAGCTCTTAACCAGTTTTTAGAACTAATTTGTCTTTTCTAAGATCTGTGTGGAAGGCCTGTTATGCTTATTGTAAGTTGCCTTTTGTTTGACATGAAGTTTCTTCCTTCTTTCACTTTAATTATTTGCCTTATAGTAAAAAGAAGATGGTATTTATAGAGCCTTAAATGTTAAAATGTAATTACTGGTTATTTGTATTATAAGACTCATTTTTTTTAACATTTATCTAAGATTAATATTGATCACTTTTTATCTTGTAGAATGTAATTATATCTAGTGCTGCAGAAAGGGTAAGTCTGCCACTAAGCACTTTGTTTTTTCTTTTCAAGCTATAAAACTTTGAAAAGTTTCTAGAGGAGAAATTAAAATAGTAATATAATGAACATTTATTGCATGTTTTCATTTTTAACTGTATTTGCTCATTATAATTGTTGAAGAGTAACATTTACCCCTTTCTTTTGGGGCTTTAAGTTTTGTTTATATAGGTTTTTGCTAATAATGTTAGAGAATGCTTTATAGGGTTCTTTTATATTTTCAAAAACAAGAAAATAAAATTATAAGGACTTAAATTTATGCAATTATCTTTTTTATATTTGGACACTTAATCTATTAATTTACTGCAGGTGAAGTCATTGAATGTTATGAATAACTTCTCTCATGTCTATTTTTTTGTTCTTTTTATTTTAGCCTTTAGAAATAAGAGGACCATATGACATTGCAAACTTGTATCCTTTTCTGAGTAAGATGTTACTGAAATTTTCTTTTAGGAAATTTGGGATTTGAAATGATATACCCTGACAAGATAGCTTTCTTACTATTTTACTGTAAGTTTACCAATTAATACTTTCAAAAAGAAATTACATCAGGTCATGGAGAGCTTCATCCTTTTGTTTTCTGGACCAAAGGTGAGATAGAAAAAGGAGGGCAAGAATGAGGGACTATACTCAAAAAGCTTAGAGTTAAATGAGCCTCTTCTCACATGCATGTTCCAGTGGGGCTAGGAACTGCTGTAGAAATAAAGTACCTCTCTCAATCTGACCAGTGAGCTGCTGCTGTCTGTCATGTTTGCGTTAGTCTCGTGTCCTTGGCTGACTCTGGGATGAAATCCTTAATGACCCACAGGGGGCTGCTGTTTGGACTCTCTGAGAGTGACGCCAAGGCTGCGGTGTCCACCAACTGCCGAGCAGCGCTTCTCCACGGAGGTGAGCAAGTTCTTCCAATAAAAACACCGGGTGGTCCTGTCGCGAGCCAATCATGTTTATCAGACAATTGAGCCTTATCCACTTTTATTGTCCTGCCCTGTAGAGTTTCTTTAGGGTCATCTTTCCTCAACCTGTTTAACCATACCCATCAGGGCTTTCTCATCCTTTACTTCAGGCTTTACTTTCTGTAATTGGTGGAATGAATATAGATTGTGTTACAAAAATGAGGACTGAGTACATTCTTTCTAGCTCTGCATGCATGTCCCTGCCTATATTTTGATAGGCTTCTACTTTTCCTGTCTCCTTCCTCGGGAGCTTATAAAAATCACTGTTTTACAGAACTGAAATGTAACAATATATGTTATGCCATTTATTAAGAACACAAAACAGCAAATGCCTTGTAAAATCCCAACTAACAAACTCAAGTTGTAACTTTTCGTGTTTATTAGAGCTTGTGCTTTTCTCATTTTTTTTGTTCACATGTTCAAGTGTGTGTAGACTATACTTTTTTTACTCATATTTCATTTACATGTAGCTTCCTCTTCACAATAACTCCACCACTTGAGGCCTTATTCATCAGGGGATAAAACTTGAATTAGAAGTATAGGATATGTTCAGGCTGTGGAGAATGAAAATGAGGTTTTATTTTATTGTTTTTAATTTACACTTTTCTGTTTTATCTTCATTCTTTTTGAAATTATTAGCACTAGTGGTAGTTGGTCAAGAAGCAATTTAGTTGATATCAAAGGAATTTTAAGCTCCAGAATAGGTTGCTACATGTGGACAAAGTTATTTGGCACAATTATACTAGTTAAGTTATTGAAGTCCTGTGTGTTGTGTCTGGATTTTAGTCATCTGATTTCCACTTAAGAGAATTGTTTAATGTATTGACTTCCCATGAAGTAAATGATTTTGCTTTTTGTTTTGAAATATTTAGTTTGAGATTGTTGTAGTATAGAGCCAAGACCCCATCACATAAGCTCTGGGAATGACTAAATTAATCAGGATTTTATCAAAATTTTCTTGAAATTAGGGAACAGTTTGCTCACACTTTGGTAGTTTTGCCATTATTTTGTCCATTTTAAATGAATTAAGGAATCATTAAGAGTTTGGATAACAAATCATGTTCCAAAGTAGACTAAAACAAGAAAGGGAAACTTTATTTATTTTTTTTAGCTTTCTACTAATAAAATTTTTTAAATATTTTATTGATTATACTATTATAGTTGTCCCAATTTTTCCCCTTACCCACCCCATCCAGCACCCCCCACTCCCTCAGCAAACCCCACGACATTGTTCATGTCTGTGGGTCACACATATGCGTTCTTTGGCTGCTTCTTTTCCTGTATTGTATTTTTACATCTCCATTGATAGCTATTCTGTAACTACTTATTTGTACTTCTTAATCCTCTCACCTCTTCACCCATCCCCCCCATCCCCCTTCATCTGGCAACCATCAAAACGCTCTTTGTGACCATGATTCTTTGTTCTTGTTTGCTTGATTTGCTTTTTAGATTCTATTATTGATAGATGTGTATTTATTGCCATTTTATTGTTCATAGTTTTGATCTTCTTTTTCTTAAATAAGTCCCTTTAACATTTCATGTAATAATGGTTTGGTGATGCTAAACTCCTTTAGTTTTTTCTTGTCTGGGAAGCTCTTTATCTGCCCTTTGATTCTAAATGATAGCTTTGCTGGGCAGAGCAATCTTGGCCGTAGGTCTCTGCCATTCATGACTTTGAATATTTCTTGCAAATCCCTCCTAGCCTGGAAAGTTTCTTTAGAGAAATCAGGTGGCAGTCTTATGGGAACTCCCCTGTAAGTAATTAACTTCTTTTCTCCTGCTGCTTATAAGGTTCTTTCTTCATCTTTAACCTTTGGCATTTTAATTATGATGTGTCTTGGAGGGGGCCTCTTTGCATCCATCTTGTTTGGGACGCTCTGTGCTTCCTGGACTTGCATTTCCATTTCCCTCATCAAATTAGGGAAATTTTCTTTCACTATTTTTCAAATAGATTTCCAGTTTCTTGCTCTTTCTCTTCTCTTTTTGGCATCCCAGTGATGCAAATGTTGGACCTCTTGAAGCCATACCGGAGCCTGCTTACACTGTTCTTATTTTGGGGGGTTCTTTTTTCTTCTTGTTCTTTTTAGTTGTTTTTTGCTTTCTTATGTCCAAATCATTGATTTGATTCTTGGCTTCATCCACTCTACTGTTGTTTTCCTGAAACTTGTTCTTTATTTCAATTAGTGTATCCTTCATTTCTACTGGATCTTTTTTATACCGTTGTGGACCTTACTAAGTTCCTTGAGCATCCTTTTACCCAGTGTTTTGAACTCTGCATCGGATAGATTGCTTATCTCCATTTTGTTTAGTTCTTTTTCTAGAGTTTTGATCTGTTCTTTCATTTGGGCCATGTTTCTTTGTTTCCACATTTTGGCAGCCTCCCTGTGTTTGCTTCTATGTATTAAATAGAGCTGCTATGACTCCCTGTCTTGGTATCATGGCCTAATGCAGTAGGTGTCCTGTGGGGTTGTCTTGCAGCCTTTTAAGGCCAGGCAGGTTCACATGGGATTCAGGTACACGGAAGAAAATGTCACAGAGCTGTGGGGATGCCTGACATGCCTTTATTCACGGGTGGGGCAATCCACACATGCTGCAAGCCACGTGTCACACCACAGGAAGTCCTGACTCCCTTATGTACTAAATGCTCACCAAGCTGGCAGGATGCCAAGATATTGTGTAGCAGAACATGATTCTGTGCATGTGGGCCCATACTCAAGGTTATGTGACTACTGCTTATTCATAGTTGCCCGGACATCTGGGTGAGGGAGCCTGACTGACTCCATTTTCCCTACAAGGGTCCAGTAGCACAGCCCCTGCTATCACCCAAGGTGGGTACGCGAGGTGCCCCTTTTGTGTGGGCTGAGTATGCCCTCCTCTTGTAATTGAGGCTTGATTGCTGTAGGCAGGTCTATGGGAGGGATTTTTACCCAGGCCAGTCAGCTGCAATGATTGGCTATGACCACTGACCACCAGCCTCCACCCTCTGTGGAGGATCAGCTGTGCAGAGGCAGGGTGGTGGTGCTCTGATGTGGTCTGTAGCTGTCCGCTGGGTGCGCTGGCCCTGGGGTTTCCCAGGTGGTGCAGGTTACGGTCAGCCCCCACTTGTGTTCTGCCTTGGGCCACCCTTCCTGAGCTATAAAGCAATCTGAGATGGCTGCTACTTGTGCTGGGCTTGGAGATTCCCAGGTGAAGCCCAGCTGTGAATCTGGGCTGGGCCACTTAGCAAGAGGTATGTGGGCGGGGAATTGCTGATGCTGGCTGTTGCTTGTTTGAGAGGATTTAGGAAAGAACTCAGACCAGCCATTCGTATGGAAAATTTACAGTTTACAGTTTGGGTGGGCCTGTAAATTGAGTGGGAGGGAGTCTCTGGGCATTTCCTGAGCGGGGCAAACAGTGTCAGCCAGGTTAATGGAGTCTTAGATATAGCACCTGCCTGTCAGCTCTGTGGCTCTGGGGGAAGGGTGCAGAAAAGGGACAATGGCCTCTGCCTGCCAAGAAGGGGGAACTTTAAGAAAAATTTAATAGGAAAAAACAGGAAGGTCTGCATTTGACTTTAAAAAACTTAATTATATAATATAGAATATATGTAAAGCCGGGCTTTTATAGAAGCTAAACTAAAAGACCTGCGGACTTTAGGTAGCATTGCCATTCACTCTCGTGTTCTCAGGACACCCCTAGTTTATGCTTGCTGTCCCTGCAGAACTGACCACACGTCTACAGGATGAAGTACCGCTACCTTGGTTTAATTGACACTGGGATCAGTATGAGACAGTTGTGCGGTGTATTCCTAAGACTGCTAATTTACCTTAGGTTACTTTAGAAGAACAAAAGGATTCTGGAGCAAGCAGGGGTTAAAGACTCATTATTGTCCTCTGCATTGATGAAGTCCTAGCTGGCATCTGTAGCATCCTTAGTGCCACATTCTTAGAAGGACAGCAAAGTACCGGAGCACCACCAGAAGATGGTCAATAGGTTCTTAGATGCTCTGGGAACCTACTCATGAGAGGAATTGTTGAAAGCAGTGCAAGAATGGATACCAGGAAAACAGAAAACTTGGGACACATAGTATCTGGCTTTCAACATTGGAAGTCCTGCCACAGGGAATCAGAATTAGATGGGTCGTGTAGGTTGCCAGAGACCACTGAATAGCAGTTCTGAGGTTGTGGGGAAGGGCCAGAAGAAAGCGGTTCAGGGCCAGAGGCTTCAGCTGGTGGTTGACAAGGTTGTTATCCTCAATGAGCCATTGGATCGAGATGGACCACCTGTTGTGGAGACCTGCCTTAATTCCTCATGAACACAATGGTGCACTCATTTTTTTATAAATAAGTACTCTAGAGGTAGTTGTAGGTTTTCCTTGACAGGATGAGTTAAGGAAATACTACATGTGAAAACACTTGCTAAGCTAAAGCCCTATACAAATGTTACTTCCAAAAGACTTATACTGAAAGTTTCTTTATCTGATAACTATAAAGATCTTGTTTATAATTATCAGCTTAAATTAAGAAGTAAATATTCATGTGATTAAAAAATAGAACATTTCGGAGATAGTACTAAAAGAATTTTGAAAGTAAATGCATTTTGTTATAAAGTATGGATTTTCACAATTTAATTTTTATTCATTCAACTGGTTTTTAGATTTTTACTCAGAACCATAGTGACACAAACAAGCGTCTCTAAATGCAACATTTTTCATTTGGTGAAATAGAAATCATTAGCGATTTCTGTTTGTTTTGAGACTGATTATGTTGGCATTTTAATGACCTTGAGAGCAGTTTTGTCCTTTTTATATATTAAAATGCTTTTAAATAACTGGCAAAGATGTAGTAGACTTGTTAAATTAATCCTGACAAATGAAAAGGTAATGCTTAACTCTTTAAAATTGACTTGACTTTTATTACTTGAAATAAGAAATAACTCTTAACTAAATTTATGTTCATTGAGTTCTTTTGATTCTTCCTCCTTCGTAGCTAATGGATCTCTCCCTGGTCCCTCCCACTTCTGAAGGACTAAGTTTGAATCTCTCTTCATGGCATTGTGACTCTTCACAAGCTACTCTGCCAGCCTCATTGCCCACTAAGATTTGTCACATTCCTCCTTCACACTGGCTGTACTGTCCCCTAACCATGCTACAGTCTTCTTACCTCTCTCTCTCCATGCCTTTGCAACGGAATTCTCTCTTCTCCCTTTTTTCCCCTTTCCTCTCCCTAGTGTCAGCTCTTTTATGATGCCTTTCGTGATTTATCCGGGCACAGTTAATACTCGTGGGCAGCTCCATTCCTATTGTATTTGCCCCTAGGCACTTAACTCAGTGTTGTAGGAAGGAACACTGTGTTGGGCATCTTTATTCCCTCTATAGATGACACAGTGCCTGGCCTACTCTCATTTTTAGCAAAAGTTGGCCAAATTTAAGTTGAGCTTCACTGCCAATCAGACCTAAACATCTAATAATCCTATACTTTGTCCATCGTCACCAATATATGAGATAAGTAAACGTATGAGTTTGATTTTCTTCATTCAATCGAGTATTTACCGAACACTTATTACATAACCAGGCATTGCTGGATGCTGGCAATACAATAAATATGATTGATTCTTCAGAAGTACATTGATGATCTAGCAGAGAAGACAGATATGGTACGTGCTGTGCTGTAAAATGAAGTGAGCACACACACCGCCACGGGAGAAATACAATTGACTGTCGTGCGTGCTATTGCGATTCGTCCGTCCTTCTCCCACATGTAAAGCACTGCTGCACTAAGGTCTGTGACCTGGGTCCTGGCTGTTGAAGGTACCGCAGACAAACCGTTAGCGATGACCTACCTTGCAGTTTTACTCTTGACATAGTCCTTAGGAATGAGTTAGATGTTAAAAACATACCGATATTTGTATATTTTGGACAAGGGAAAGGTAATAACAGTAAATGTCATCAGCGGTCAGTATTTCATTATGGTTTTATCATTTACTACTGCTGTATGTCAAAGCAACATAGTGATACTTATTCAACTACCTCTTTAAATCATGTCTTAACTTCGAGCACTGTGATTTCCTCCTTTGTTTTATAGAAACTAGGAAAACTGCTTTTGGAATTATTTCCACAGTGAAGAAACCTCGGCCATCAGAAGGAAATGATGATTCTTTTCCCGCTTGCAAAAAAGCCAAGTGTGAGGACTGAAAAGAATCTCCCAGTCTCTGTCAACACTCCCTGCTTCCCTTTTATAGTCCATCAGCCACAACAGAAATGAAACCTTTATATGATTTGCTATTTTCACATGGAGCTAGAAATTGGTAGTCTCTAAAAACGATTTTATATTCAAGCCATTAAACTAACAGACAAAACCTGGTGAAGCATTTAGGAAAAAAAAGATTCCGCTTAATGAATTCAGATACTATATTATAAGAGAAAAAGAGTCTAGTGTATATTCTTTGTGTAAGTGATAAAACAGCAGGTATAAATTAGAAGATGTTTTGATATTTCAAGAGACTTTAAAAATGTTTTTTGTTCATTTAAAAACTCATGCTTTTCTGCTTTACTTGATACACATTGTTTTTCAATCTTACTAGAAGAGTGGTTATTTTTGAGACTATTAAAATTTATATTAAGGGATTGGGTTTTAGTTGATCTATTCTTGTTTTAAGCCTCTGTTTTATTATGTTCATCAAATCAAAGTTTTTTTAAAAGGACTTGCTATAAAATTTGTAGAAAGAGAAGGGAAGTGCACCTAAAATCACACTTGGCCTCTTCCTTTGCTGCTTCTTACCTCCACGATGTCCTTGAAATACAATTCCCTCCTTTGACTTGGACACCCTTGAAAATCTAATACTGATTTTTCCTAATAGTTATATTAAGAATATCAAAGCAGTAGACTTAACCAACTTTGGATATAATTTTTTAAGAGGAGGATTATTATATTAGGTGGAAGTAGCCTTTTTTGCAAATATGTGTATTTTTGCTATTGATATCAATAATCTTTTAACTGAGAAAAAGGACAGAGTCAGAGAAATAATCATTTCAAAAAGAAAACTTTATACCAATCTCACGAATATAGATACTTAAATAAAATATTGGTAAAGAGAAACCATTAAAACAGTATGCCATGACATGGTGAGATTTATTCTAGGAATCTAAGAATATTTCAGTTCTTTTTAATGTACTATACTTTATACTATTAATGTGTCAAGTGAGAAAAATCAGAATCATCTTAATGGATGCTAACAAGACATTTGATAAAATTTAAAATCTACTCCAGATTTAAAAATTAAGCAAAAATAAAAACCCTTGGCAAAATAAAAGACTATTTCTCTCTCTCTCTCTCTCTTTCTCTCTTTTTCTCATACACACACGCATATGTTCCATATATACTTATATATTGTATATATTAACAATGTTGGTTCTAAAAATAAAGCATTTTTGACAGACTTCCATGTGCATAATTTGGTGGATTAGCCCACTGCATAAAGCTAATGTCCACTGCGCCTGAGCCCACACACCAAGTTTGCCACTTGAGCGACAGCTTGCTTTTGCCTATACCCCACTTGGATTCACTAAAAGTTAGGTGTGTGTTTATTCACAAGTCTCTGTTATTGTATTTAGCACTGTTAAATCATATAAGTTAGTTAAAAATTGTGAACACTGATGAACTATGAGAGAGAAAAAAAGGAAATCCCAGGAAGACTAAATTTGATGCTTTTGAAAGTTTTGAAAAAGAGTAGTCACTAAAAAAAAAACAAACCTGTTTAAAATAAAAGGCATGAGCAGGATAACTGAGATTTGGGGGAGATGCCGTAAAATTCTGCACTTGGATTACTTCGCGGGAGTCTTAAGTTCTCTTGCTTCTTTAAAGAGACTGGAACTCAAGAAGAACAACCGTGGATCTCCCATCAGTGCTCCCATGCATCCAAGGACAGGCTTTGACGTCCCTTTAAAAGATTGGCACATGAGTGTACATTTTTATGCATGTAATTTAAACAAATAAAACGTTTAAGTTGATTTTTGTTTTAACTTTTTTTTTTAAGATTATTTATTTTTAGAGAGAGGAAAAGGGAGGGAGAAAGAGAGAGAAACATCTGTGTGGGATTGGTTGCCTCTCTCATGCTCCCAACTGGGGGACTTGGCCTGTAACCCAGGCATGTGCCCTGACTGGGAGTGAAACTGGTGACCTTTTGGTTCACAGGCTGATGCTCAGTCCACTGAGCCACACTAGCCAGAGCTTAACTTGATGCCACACCTTAATCTACTTTTTAGCTAACTTGACTGTGTGTGGGAGTGGGAGTGTGTGTGTGTGTGTGTGTGTGTGTGTGTGTGTGTGTGTGTGTTTCTGTATAAGTATACCCCAATTGCACCAGATAATATTGAGGACTTAAATGTTATATCAGAAATGAGGTAAAGTTATTGCAGGTGTGACGGAAAATAAGAGAAGCAACTGGGAAAACATTAGACATACAGGTGCATTTTAGTTTACAAATGTGTTACATATTTGCAGTTGTGACTGCTTTCTATTTATGAATATGGACTTACCTCGTTCAAATACGAGAGCATGATGGCTGGTCATCGGTGAGTGGCAGCCAATGGGTTTCCTTCTAATGTGTACTTCTGTCTCTTGTTAGAACATGAACCGCTATTGATTCTGTTGCAACAAGATGACCATACCTGTAATAAAAGTTCAGCAAAACACACCAAGGCTGGTGTGGCTTAGTAGGCTGAGCACCAGCCTGCAAACCGGAAGGTTGCTGGTTTGAGTCCAGGCCAGGGCACATGCCTGGGTTGCAGGGCCAAGTCCCTCGTTGGGGGCATGTGGGATGCAGCCGATCGATGTATCCCTCGCACATGTGTTTCTCTCCCTCTTTCTCCCCCTCTCTGAAAAAATGAAAATAAAAAGTTCTGCAAAACAGTTATAAAATAAATACACAAAAGCTAATAGTTTTAATTATCAATGTTTTATAAGATACCATTTTAAAAAATCAGCCTATTTATAAAGATATGTTACTAAGAATTGTGTAGGACCTTGGAAGAAAACTTAAATGAAAATCATAAGGGAAATTAAAGAAGACTAGAATACATAGAGGGAAATCTTATTTTCTTGGATGAGGAGACAATGCACATCAAATTATCCCCTAAATTAATGAATTTAACAGAATCCAAACAAAGTGTGTATGTGTTTGTTCGCTTGTGTATATGGTTAGTTTGTAGACTTGGTATTTTGAAAGCAGAAATGTAAGAATAGCTACAAGATTTTGTAGGATAAGAGCATGGACTTGTACTGCTCAAAATTGCAGAGCACAACAGAACTCTAGTAATTAAAACTAATTGGTGCAGAAATTCTTATAGATTAATAAAAGAGTTGAGAGTCCATAAGCACTTCAGTTATAAGAAGAAATGATGGGTTCAGTAAGTGGTGCTGGAACAGCTGGTTACCATTGCCCAGCAGTGCAGCAGACCAGTTAAGTGCAAAGTCTGAAGAGGCTGCCTGTGTAAAAATCCCAGCTCGTGAGTACTTCCCACCTGTGACCTGGGGCAAATGAGGTAACCGCTCTTGCCTCGCTTCCTTCTGTTTTCCCTGTGGCATTGCAAGAGTTAGGTAGATTAATATCTGTAGAAGGCTCAGAACAAGATCTGTCATGTACAAGGTGCCTACTATATATCAGCTATCATTCTATCATTTAGGGGGAAAAAAGTCTTAATTCCTATCATACCTACTACATACACCCATAGTTAATGCAGGTGGATTAAAGATACAATTTTTTTAACTTGTAAAATACTAGAGAAAAAGGTAGGTAAATTTAAAGAAAAAAGAAATCAGTTTGGAATAGAAAAGACCTAAAGTGGTCATTAAAACCAGAAAACATAAAAAGTGTGATGGATTTGACCCTAAAAAAATATGTTAGAAAAGTACTTTTACAATGCGTATTCCAGAGAGGTTTAGCACCCTTATCTTTTAAGAAACTTTTTAAAAAACACACAACATGCAAAATGCTGTCACGGTCCACCCAGATCCCTCTTACCAGGCTGGTGTACCCAGCCCTCAGCTGCTCCAGATGGCGGGAACTAACTGTCCATTTCCATCCTCCTTCAGAGGATCATCCTGGCTGATGGACATGATCTTACCCAGGATGCCTGGGAAGTCTTGTTCCCGCCCCTTGAGGTCGGGCCGCACACAACGCCTGATGCAGGACATCACAGCCTGGCCTTCGGGCCCAGGCTGTGCAATCTATGCTCCGAGCTCCCTGGGACTAGGCTGAGAAAAGACTTCCCTTGAAACCACATCTTTGCCTCTATTCTTCTCCCGCCCTGTCCTGTTACCCTCATTTAGTCTCAATAAACCACAAGAATCCTCATTTCAAGTGCTGCTTCCAGGGAACCTGACTTAATAGAAAATTAGACAAAGAAGGTTGACCCAGAAAAATTCAGTCAACATGAAAAGGCTGAACTTCGTAGTAATCAGGCAAAAGTTGTCAAATTACACAAACACACACACACACACACACACGGCTAATCAGATTGAAAAGATTTATAAAATATGTTTTTTAGTGATTAGAAAGGCAATAACTTGGAAGGAGTATAATTTGATACCAGTCTTAAAGATACTTCCATAAATTTTTCAGAAATAACTGGTTAGGTATAAAGGGTGTATGGAAAAGGCCATTCATTACACCAATGTTTAAAATAGTGGGAAAATGGAAACCTAAACACCCAATAAGATTAGTTAAATGATCCACTGTACATTGAAACATAATACCATTTATAAAGATGTATGGAATAAGTTGTTTAATTGAAAAGTTATAAAATTAAAGGTACAGTGCCCATACATAATGTGTACAGAAAAATCAGTGCCTTGAAGTTGGAATTATTGGTGTCATTTGCTTTTTTCATTGTCCATTTCTATAACTGGCTTAATACGTAATGGGTGTGTATTACTGGTTTGAGGGTAGAGAGGAAGTTTTTCATTTGGGGGATAAAGGCAGTATGATAGATATTATGACCTGGAGGAAAAGGACCACAAGAACTCCCTCAGGAGGGATAACGAAGTTTAAGGAAGGGTCAAGACGGCTCCGGGACAAAACACAGCTAACCTGAAGGAAGAGCGAGGGGAAACTGCACCATGAGTGAGGCAGGGTGGGAGGAAGGGCCCCCCAGGGAACTGGCACAGCATATAAAAACAGCAAAGCAAGGGCCTGTTGTTTTTTTTAAGAAACTGAAAATTCATGTTGAGTTGAAATTTGGAGTTTAGCTGGGAAAGTAATGAGAAATAGATAAGAATAGAGTTAGCAGCTGTCAGATTTTAAGGATTTTAGAAAATGTTAAGAAGAACTGGGAACCCATTGAAGAATTTTAAAAAAGAGAACGACTTGACCAGAATTGCATTTTTGAAAAATCACTCTGGCTGCCACTTGAAGAACAGACTGGAGGAAAGTAAACCAGAGCAAGGCGTGGTCTCAGCAAGGACTATCTGAGTTATCCAGGGAGTAACCCCTGGTGATCTGAACCAAGGGAGTAGCCCCTGGGATGGGAGGAAGCGGACGGATTACAGAGCAGTATGCTGGGTAAGAAGATTTTGTGGGGTTGAAAGGGAAGGGTGAGGGGAGGAGAATGTTGAGAACAACTTTACTTGGAAGAAATGGAAGGACACTGTGCCTTAAGGATCTGAGAGGTTAGCACCAAGACCCTGGAGGGAGGGCGGAGGAGTGGTCAAGGGGATTGGGAGGGAGGAAGGGAAAGAGAAGGAAGACGCTCCAGGTACCCCTGGGAGGCAGACATTGGGCCATTAGAAGACTAAATAGAAAAGGTTCAAAAATATTTCAAACTGTTCTCAGAACTCCATGTGTGCCCACGACCGGCTATCTGGAGGATCTGGTTATGGACTATGTCTGTGTGTCCTCTTAAAGTATTAGAGGCATAGCGAAGACTTACATGGATGAGCCTATCTAGAGTGAGTTTTTTGGAAAGGGTAGTACCCGTGCTGGTGTTTCAGACCGGCCTCATACATTTCCTAAAGTGTCAAACTTTTCCCAAACTTGCCCTGTCCTGTGTTCTCTCTAGTGCCTGGAATGTTCTGTGCTTGAATAACTCCAGGTTATTCTTCGGACTTCCCTAAAAGCTACCACCTCAAAGCAGTCTTTGTAGAAATCTTCTCACCCCATCATATGATGAGCCTCCACATCTTAGGCTCACAGCACTCTGTATTTTTTACTTCCTTGTACTTACCACAGATATTTGCTACATACTTATTTCTGTGATTATTTCTTTAGCATCTATCCATTCCAGAAAGGCAGGGAAGGGAAGGGACAATCTGGTTTTCTCATCATAGGTCTTAGAACCTGGTCCAGCACCTGGCGACCAAAGCCTTACAGATCCAAAGTCATTCAGCAGGTGTGTTTTCTTGTGGGAGGCCTTTGACACTGCCAGCTGCTGTCCGCAATACCTGGTAAACCTCAATTAGTCAACCCTGATGGAACTTCTTAAGCATTGTTTAACTTGAAGTAAACATTCTGCCCACCAGGGGTCTCTTTCCCCCCTCATTGGGACCAAAAGAACTTTGTGGTTTTCACAGCTGTGCCTCCGCCTCTCCATCACCTGGGAGACCATCAGACTTGGAGACTCTCAGGTCTCACCTGCGACTGGCAGATTCAGAACCTGCACTGTAAAACACGATCCTCATGTGATCCGTATACGCATTCAATACGGAGAAGTGCTGTTCTACAGGACATTCCTAATGTGAAAAACTTGGAGGACAAAAACAACCCCCTCTACAGGGCCTTTCTCACTTACTGAAGTATACTTACAAAGAGGTTTAGAATTCGTTTGCTTTTATTATGAATATAAAATATACATATGACATAATACACATGTACACATTTACAATTTGCCATCACTGTCATCTTGGATTAGCAGCTCCCATTCTGCAGGACCCAGCTGCCCGCCCCCCCCTTCCACTGCTCTCCGCTCACACTCACGACGTTTGCTT